ATCAAGCATTCAGTTTGAAGCTGAAAGAACGTAGATTAATCTCCTGTCATTGAAAATAACAATAAACGACCAGAACACTGTTAAAATCGCATTTAATCGCGGAATACCACTATTTTTTTGACCGGTGGCGCCATCCATGGCGAATCGTTGAAACTACTAGCCAATTATTTGGCTAGGAGTTTAAGCGTTTCGCCACGGGTGGCGCCACCGGTCGAAAAAATAGTGGTATCCGCGATTAAATGCGATTTTAACAGTGTTCTAGTTGTTTATTGTTATTATCAATAATAGTGGATTAATCTACGTACTTTCAGCTACAAATTGAGTGCTTCAGCTAAACGAAAGCTATCCGTATAACGGTGTAAGAGCTATGCAAAGTGAACTAACCGGGGTACGCATGACGAGATACAGTGTCAACCGTTGCAAATAAATCTGATTTTAACAATGTTCTTGTAATTACTGGTTCCCACCTGCCAGAGAGTACTAATCTGCGTTCTTTAAACTTCGAATGTAATCCATGACGAGGAAAAATGATGCCCGTTCAGCGGTGTAAATGCGTTCGAATTAGGGTTGCCGCTCCATGAGGTAGCTGCGGTATTACAGGCATAATTAATTTGAATAATTCTGGGATTCTGCGGTATTGGGTTGATGCATTAAGTCCCGATGAATAATTTGAGATTAACAGTGTTCATTTTCAGCGCCTAATTACTGAGATATTCGCATTTTTCCATCACTAGAAATTTTCACTTACCTGTCGGTATTATTTGGCTAGCAGTTTGAGCGAATTGTCGCGGGTGGCGCCACCTGTAAAAAAATAGTGGTACTCCGTGATTAAATACGATTTTAACAGTGTTCTGGTCGTTTATTGTTATTATCGATAACAGTGGATTAATCTATGTACTTTCAGCTACATATTGAGTGCTTTATCTAAACGAAAGCTGTCCGTATAACGCTGTAAGAGCTGTCCAAAGTGGACTAACCGGGGTACGCATGACGAGGTACAGTGTCAACCGTTGCAAATAAATTGCGATTTTAACAGTGTTCTGATCGTTTATTGTTATTGCCACTGACAGGAGATTAATCTACGTTCTTTCAGCTACAAGTCGAGTGCTTGGTCAAAACAAATGCTGTCCATATAATGTCGTGAGACCTGTCCAAATATGAAGTAAACAAGGAGTGCTTGACGTGGCCCAGTGACTTCTACGCATATTTCTGGGGTTCTGTGACCCCACGTTCTCACCACGCGGGATCTCTGATTTACTACAGAAACTATTGCATAGAATTGATAAACAATTTCATAACGAACAGTTGGACATGAATGAAAGTGACTTTTATTAACAATTAAATCGAATGTTCCACATTTTCTGTGACGCTTCCGCGCCCGTCGCTCATGTTCGGCGTTCGTTAATTATTCATTAATTATTGAAAAATATGCTAAGGAAGTCTATTATAAATAGAATATATTCAGCTACTTATTCTTCTGTTTTTAAACTACAACCCTATATTATGTGCCAATACATCTGTAGACATATTCATTACATGAAACCAACAGTTATTTAAAAAACCATGACACACCTTTTAAATTCACAAGTATAACTATAGCACAGATTAAATGGGGTACAAAACATAATCAAATTTTATTTTTAATTACCATCACCTTTCACTTCATTCGGCATGAAATACTTGTTTTCCAAAATCAAAAATGTATTCCTCAAAATCTAGATCAGGATGCAAAAGGTAAACATGAAACTTTTTATATCAATAAACTGGACTTAATTACATTCACCTTCAATTTTAAAATAGGCACAAAGAAGAAAAAATCATGATCATAAAGCCTTATGATTTCTGTTGTTCATCTGATAACATTGATCCATTGACACAATATGATCAGAAAGAAAACTTCTTTAATAAATCTTCATTGATGTCCATGAATACAATAAATGAAAGTCCAGTTCTGAAATTTAGAACTCATTTTACTGGTTACGTAGATTCAGAACTCACAAAAAAATCTGCTAAGGCTAAACCGTCAGATATTGAAGACTCCAGACGTAAATTATATACAAAACAACCTGTAAATAAATTATCTAAGTATACCAGTTCAAAGTTGCATATTCGTGCTGGATCATCAGACGATGATTTATGTGATAAACAAACAAACAAAGTTAAAGAGGGCCCAATACAGTGGTACTTAGAAGATGAAATTAGATTTGCTAAAGATATATTTTGGGAAAAAAAACGAAAAGCTTATAATGAAGAAATGAATAAAAATATTGAAATTGGAATGGAAAATGGTAACCATACATATCTATTTAATAATTATTTGAATTCTAATAATAGTGTCCTTTCTTTAGTTAGACTTTACATGAAAAAGGAATCGAGCAAATGTCCGCGATGGTATCAAGATTTTTCCATTGATCAAGTACTATACATACTACTGAGTTATTATTGAAACTTAAATTATCAATAAAATGAAAGATAATTTCAAATTAATAGATGAAAAACTTAATGATGCTGCAATGTGTAATACAACAAGACTGTGAAGAAATGGTAACAGGACGTACACAAAGAACACTTGCAGAAATTGGAGCAATATCTACATTTTTTATGCTTACACCAGATATTATTAAAAAATTACAAGAAATTTGTAACTGTAATGCAATCGAATTTTTAAGAGAAATCTACAAAATATTAACAGGAAGTTATTTTGAAGAGGAAGGATATAGTTTGTGATTCCATTATCTCACAATTGATTATTCATTATAATAAGATTTTCTTATGTTGTATTTTTACGATTTCAGAACAATTTTACGATTGTAACGAAAGAATAATCTTGTCAGCCATTGCATTTTTAACTTTGCCAGAAGCTATAGTAGAATTACACGAGAGATTACCATCTGTAATAATGCCAAAGATAATTCCTAAACGTAAGATCTGTATATATTAAATGTGGTAATAAATTATTGGTAAAAATTATTTATGTTACAGCTGTACCGCCAACATCACCAATAAGACAGAAGAAAGAATCACCGTATGAAGAAGATCTCTTTCTACGTCCAGATTGGGTATCTTATTATAATAAATATGAAATTTGGCAAGCTAAATGTCAATTAATACCAATACCAAAAGTAATATTACCACCTAAAGAATGTCTTGTAATTACGTCTGAGAACACAAGAGTACTCCATAATAATGATGAAACTAAAGTACAAAGAAAGGCAGGTGGAGGAAGTTTCATTGATGATAGATCAGACCATATCAGAAACAATCCTATTCTGCAAAAGAAACAAAAACAGACTACTTCTATTAAAGAAGAGGGAAAGAATAATTTATCTAGGAATATAAAGCAGAAGAATCCCACTTTAGTTAAAAAAAAAGAAACTGTTAAAAAACAGAAAAGAGAAAGTATTACTGGGAAAGACATTATAGGTATATTATTTCAGTGCATAAATACTATATAAAATGTGGTGTAACATGTTGCTATCCAATGATTCGTTGCTGCTATTAACAAAATATCTAATATTGAACTATGTACACATAACTAATATAATATTAATCTTTATCCACATATTAGATAATAACGATGACAATGCTAAACAAGAGGTAGATGCAATGAATAAGCCAGAGTTCGTCTTTGATATCCCGGAATTGCCCAATGGAAGTAAAGTATTTGACTTTACAATTAATGGAATTAGCGAGAAATCAGGTCCAGTAGAGTACAAAATATGCGGTAAATATTTTAGTATGAATACGGTATATAGAATTATTTTTAGACGTTAATTAGAATATATGTATGTACTCCAGGAGTTCTACAACCCCCACAGCTAAATAAGAAATCCTGGCTTGGAGAGAAACATGCTCATTATGTTATATCTGGAGCTGCAGATGATCCACCATCATGCCCTGTAACATACGAGATGACTGGTATCGCGAATATAACACCAGTTAACAGTAATGAGAAATTCTTTGCTATTCTAAAACTTGGGGACGGACCGAAAAAGATTTATCCAAGTGGTAGAAAAAATTTGTCTCCGAAGTGGCAAGAATGGTTACAAAGTGCGGATGAAGAATATCGAAAAGCGGAAAGGGAAGCGAATAAATTGATAAAAAACATAGGAGCTATAACGAGATTGGTGTTCCCAGGACTTAAATGTGATAGCTGCTGTTCCTGTAGGCAAAGCAGAAAGTCATACTTAAAATCAAAGGAAACCAAGACACCTTACTTCGTAATAGACACCATAGCTGAAGACAGCAAAAAAAACAAGTAATAAAAAACTAATAAAATGAGGTAATATTTCTTTTTGAAATTGTACACTCCATACTATTTTGTTTACCAGATGTATTATAGGATCTATGGCGATGCATTCTCCTGCACCAACGCCTCCGGAATCAACAGTTAATTTGCTGGAAGTCATAGCATCGGAGGATGTTCTCACTTCCAAACTAATGATAAACGGTGTTACCAATCCAAAAGGTGAAACACAATATTTCATTTCTGGAATTAAGGAGGAGATCATACATCAGCCATCCAGGGTCATCGAACGTCCACCTCCTAGACCACCAAGAAATGTTCCACCGTGCGAATGTGCTATTCAACAAATATCTGCTAAAGGTTTGACTACAACGGTGAGCCACGATCATATACCGTGGACGAAAGAAGATGGTCTGTGCTTCGGAAAGAAGTTTCGACCCGGCGAATCACCTGCATTTTCCTGCAAAATGTATCCCGGTGATAAGTCATGCAGAAGAAATCCATTTTTTCGTGAAATAACGAAAATGAAAAAAAGAGCTGAGAAAGCGAGTAAAAAAGCTACAGGAGTCCCGGAGAAAAAGAGAATGTATAGTATAGCAGATTTCCAACCGTGTGGGGATGAACATGGTATGGGTATTTGCGGGGCACCGTGGGGTACTCTGCATACTTTGACTCCACAGGAGTTGGAAGAACAGGAGAAGTTAAGGAAAGAGATACTGAGGGTATATATTCTTGCTAAATTCAAATTCACTAAATAGTTCGTGTTTTATAATAATACAATTCAATTGCGTAGGGTCCCCCGTGTGGCACGAAACCTGGACGAGCAGTTTGTAAGGGTCCTTTTGGCGAACGCATACCGTTTAAGAAACCAAAAATAGACTTACAAGAATTACCCGGAGAATTCGACGATGAAGACATTGAGGATGAAGAGGAGGAAGAAAAAGTTGAGAAGAAACCCGTTATGGTAATGAGAGAGAAAGAAAAGAAACGAGACAAGAAGTGTCACATGAGTCCAGAGAGTTTAGCAGGCAAACAGATGATAAAGGAGAAGCAGGTGAAGCAGTTCATTCCAGATCCCACTTATCCTGGTTACGATGATCCATGGAATATATATCGCACAGCACCAACAGAAAAAGAATCGGAAACAGATTTCAAAGCGTTGCTGAAACTCAGTTCGCCAAAACCATCTGCTCTACCTGTAGAATCGAAGTTATTATTAAACAATCAGAAAGATAGACAGAAATCGGTCGTTTCTCTCAACAAGAACCAGTCTCCAAAAAAGCCTGCCTCTGGAAAATTAAAAACCAATGAGGAAGCACCGATACAAGGAACAAAATCAGTTGACACGAAAGACACTCAAAACAGATTGCCTGATAAAGTTCTAAACCCACAAAAAGCTAAGAGCTCTCAGGCAGAAGGCAATCTCAAAACGAGTTCGAATTTTATACGTGAAAGAGGAGGTGCATCCCATAGAAAATTAAACAAGAATCCTGAACATCAATACAAACCGGTGTTGAATAAAGGAAAAAATAATAAAAGTCGAATTAGCCAAACATCTTCATCGGATATAGCAATGAATGCCGAAGTTGATACACAAAATAAGAAAGGCACTGCAAGTAGAAGAAGAAGTTCACTTATAGGACACAGAAGGAAGAAAGGGAACAAACAGTTGTATTCAGGCAAAAAGAAACACAGAAGAAAGGATACATCAAGTGTCGATGATATAGATGCTGATCCAAAGAAACGCATACAGAACTTAAAGAACATGCTTACATCTCCTGACATCTACCCTTATGACGTTAAGCCAGTGAATCTTCCTGAAGAGCCCAAGACAAGGTGCGCAAGAGAATATGAGGATATAAGTATAGTGGATGACTCCATAAAACTTGATGAAGTATCAAGGACACAATTACTAAACAAGGGACCTTGTGGCTGGAGAACAAAGTCTGAACAACAGTTACCAACGAAAAAGACTTTGGTTTACCTTAGTGAGCCGGACTATCCTCCAGAAACAATAGCAGTACGACCAGGGGGTAGACCATGCATATGTCGTCAGAATAAGGATAAGAAGAAAGTACTGACATACAACATTGGAGGTCTGATACGCGGGAAAAGGGATGACCCAGATGTTATCGACAAGAAGTTACTTAAAAAAAAGAAAGATCAAGATGACAAAAAATTGCAAGTGATAGAAGGTATTATTTATCATACTCCACCACCAAGTCCACGCAGGAGCGACGAATATGTACCTGAATACGATCTCTATACATCCCCATACGACATGTGCCTTTCTCAACGCACGGATAAAAATCTGAAGTATTTTGAACAATACAGCGGGCCGAAAGGTTCTATGCCGAAAGGAACAAAACAAAGAGAACCGTGTGAATGTGATGAATTTGTAGACACATATGGTATACAAGTAGATAGCCAAGATACCGAAACCGAAAAAGCAACGGCAGAATTCGAGAAGAACAGGCAACAATTAATCGAAGCAATACCACCAAAAGAAAGATGGGATTTAGCGCTTAAGGATATAGGGTTGATCGATTATTATACACGATGCAAAGACTCTATGCCTTGCTGGTTGAAATGCGCTAAATTCAACAACGTAGGCTGTAAGCTACCGATCAGGAAACTGCAGATAAAGAGACCAGTTTGTGAATGTAAATACGAAAGGAAAATACTTGAACACAAGGAGGAAAAAACGAAGTGGAAGGAACGCCGGAAAAGACTGAAATCCATGAAGAAAGAACCATTCATGAATATCGTGGATACCTCGAAACCAATGGTCGCAGATACAAAATTAATGATATCAGGGGTGAAAAGAATTCCACGGGAAGACGAGTACGTGGATGATGTTAAGTATTGTATAACTGGCGTTGTTGAGAATTACACGGAAGAACCACCGAAACCAATAGTGGGTGGTGTACAGATGGCTACGCCTATTCAAACACCCGAACCAAGTGTAGAGGAGATACCATGCGTTTGTCTACATCGACACTGGTCACCTACGAACATTCCTCCTGGTCCAGTGCCGAAACCAGAAGAAATCAGACAGGCCGAGGAAAAGAAACGAAGACAGGCTGCGGAAGAAGCATACAAACAAATCCATGCCCCTGAACCAGTATACGATTCGCATGGTACTCATAGTTGCAAAAAGACTTGTGATCCAAATGCTTTGTCAGAGGATGAGGATACAGAAGGGAGGGACAGTATAATGCCACGGTTGTCGCTTAAAGAAAGCAGAAGCAGAGCGACAGGTCTTCCTAAACAGACAAAACATCAAAGAAAATCCATTACGGATGATTCTAAGATTAAAGAAAATAACAAGAGATCAAAAACGCAGGGAAATTCTGTAACGAAAATAATAAGTCCACAAAAGAAGGTGGGAAATGTTAGAAATGATGAAAATCTACTAAAAGGTTCACATGCACCTCGTGAAGCTCAACAAAAAGATATTGTAGAGAAAAAATCACAAAGTCTTCAAAGGACTCAATACAAAGGGGGTGAAAGTGATCCTCATTTACAAAATATAAATGCTGAGACAAAAGCAGAAGTACCAGAGGCATCTGACGCAGAAGAAGAAGAAGTGGAAATTGCAGCTGACTTTGAATTAATTATCGTAGTAAGGGTAAAGTAATTTTTCTATTAGCTATGTGTTTATTAATAAATATAATAATGTAAAGTTAATTTAATGAATAGAATGAGCTAATGAAAATGGCAGCACAAGGATTCTTATTTGCAAAGTTACCAAAATGCTTTTTATTGCCGCAATTGAGATATTGGTTAATGTATAGAGAAGGGTTTGCTCTCACTGACGCGGATAAAGGTAAGTAAGGTTTTCGTATTTTATATAAAATACAGTTAATATATTATACCACTTTTTAATATGATTTTCTTAGAGAAATCCTTGCAAAGGAGTCTCATGATGTGGAATTCGCTAAGTGCTAAAAAATTATCCAAACTTGAACCCCCATCACTGAACATGACGAAATTTCAACTTAGAAACTTGACTTTCAGTGATATAGAGAGAATGAAAGAAAAGGTCTGTTTATTCTAGAGACTGATTATATTTAGATGAAACGCTTCATTTTATTCGTTTGTAGATAGCAAGAAACAAGGCAATATTCCATAGCGAAGTCCGTAAAAATCGTGTCGTATTTGCACGATCACTGTGGAACACGATGGATTATGGAAAATTTCCATCTCTGTCATTCAAACGAGCGTTCTTTAGTTACATGGCCGGCAAAGAAGCTGATGGCTATGTTTTTAAACCATGGTTTCGTTCTGATGTGCGGAAAGGAACGACTTAAAAATCATCATCCTTGAAAAAAATACTTGGAACACTTAAAAAAAATACTTGGAATACTAAAAAAAAATAAAGGAATCATTCTTTATCGAGCGCTAAATAAAAATATTAAAGTAAGAAGTAAAGAACGATGAATATTCGAACGGTAAGATTTCGCGGGCTTTAAGTAATCGATTCACGTGTAAATAATTTTGAACAATCGAGATGGTGACCTCGAACAAAATAATCGATAGTTTAACACCAGATTTTTAAGTCGGTTAAAGGGACTTAAGTGACGGAGAATGGACTTCGAAAGCCCCGATGTAGAAAAAGAATTTCCTGGATTGTACGCGTCAGAATCAGCTAAGAAAAATAACGAAAGCGATTGTATGTATCGTAGTTCACCGAATTAATTATTTTTTTATGGCATTAGGTACCTGTTAAGAAAGAGGTTATGCAAGTGAAAATATCAAATGCCGTGAATCCTTTTTTCCCCCTCAATGACACGTTGACACTGAATAGTATTTGTATTAATTGTTCCGTGTTCGTGTGCATGTATTTTTAGTTAGTGATGATGGTGGACACGAGAAACATTCCAAGAAAGAACTCCTGGGCGGTAAACGAAAAGAAAAAAAAGATCGAAAGGATCGAGGGTATGCCACCTTAGAAGGCGAAAGTTCGCCCGACGAGGATCAGGAGACAAAGTAACATTTTTCATGTCATTTTTTACACATTAGAAACTTAATTTGAAGCTTATTCGTCCATTCTATCTTTTGTATTGGAAGTCATGTTCATGTTTACTCCAGAATTTTTAGTAATAAATTACATTCATTCGAACATTTGTTTCATTTTCTAATACTTTCCTGAGTGATTAGTGTTATAAACACTTGTCAATGTCATTTCCCACAGAATTAAAATAATGCCACAAAGTTATTTTAATTTTCACATATTGATAGCACTGTCATGCTAATAAGGTTCACATAGATCTAGAGTTACTTGTATTGATTCATGTCTTATACATGATTAGTTAATAATTCAAAACAAATTACTTTCAAATGGAAAACAAGCTCATATCTAACATATATGATTTAATATTGTTAATTATCGTGATCTTTAATTCAATAGTGAATGTGTATTTTATGATAAAAGTGATTGTGCTCTATGCACAAAGAGATGATGAATAAGCCACAAATTGAGAAATAGAGAGAGAGAGAGAGAGAGAGAGAGAGAGAGAGAGAGAGAGAGAGAGAGTTTATTGCAACATACTTTATGTTATTACTATATTATTAGAGCTAACATGAGATTTAACTCACAGAAGTCCATCAAAATTGAAAAAGACCAAAGCTTTTAAATTCCCTTCAAAGAAGGAGAAACGAGAGAAATCCAGAGAAAAAGAAGGAAAGGAAAAGGATGCTGAAAAAGAGAAGGATAAGAAAAAGAAAGACAAGGATGAAAAAGATGTAGACAAAGAGAAGCGCAAAGAGAAGGAGAAAGACAAAGCTAAACAAAAATTGAAGGATCGTAAAAAAGGAAAGCATATCGGGGAAGACTGTCTAGATATTGGAGGCAAGATATATAAATATATATTGTTAGAGTACTTTCTTGTTTCTGTTACTATAGTTAAACTTTTCCATTCAGAGGAGCAACCAATATTCGGTGTTAGTCTGTATTTAGCAGTAGAACGAAGCCGTTGCCATGATGGTGTTGAACTGCCCTTAGTTGTAAGAGACTGTATCGATTTCGTGGAAGAATACGGAATGAATATAGAGGGTTTGTACAAAATTCCAGGAGTAAAATCGAAAGTGCAGTACTTGAAAAAATTATATAATAACAGGGACCCTGTAAATATGTCTGAGTTTGAACCCATAATAGCTACGAGCTTGCTGATATTATTTCTTAGGTTCGTAGTTTACAATTCTTAAGAAAGATAGTTTAAAATAAACACATTAACATAGAACGTTTATAGAGAGCTACCAGAACCTGTATTGGAGAACAGCGAAATGATATCCAGGTTTGAGCAAGCAGCATCCACAAAAGATGTTGCTCAGAGGGAAGCACAATTGATACAGCTAACTCAACAACTTCCAGAGTGCAACAAGGTTCTTCTCGCATGGGTCATATTGCATTTAGATCATGTCACGGCACGAGTACGTTGAACAGTGACATTTGGAGTATAATATGTATGTATATTTACTTCATACGAAACTGTATTTCAGGAGAAAACAACAAAAATGAATGCTCAAACCATTTCAATGACATTAAGTCCTGTCTTACAAATGAGTCATAGATTGTTACTAGCTTTGTTGTTTCATTGCAAAGCTCTCTTTCCAAATGTACAGTTAACAAAGTATATTCCACCACTCTCATCTGGCAGTGTTAATCTTCCAGAGTCTGTAGAAAGTATTGCTGCCGAATTGTCTAAGCAGGAATCATTGCTCTCACAGATACATATGCAAATGAATGCAGGTTTTGTTACTAAATCACGCGAAGAACAATTGTGGGAAGTACAGCGTATGATAACACAGTTGAAGGTCAGATTTCCCTAATGAATTAGACTTACAAGTATGCATACGAATTGTGCGATGCATAAATGTAAAATTGTTTTCTTCCCTCAGAGAAAATATAAAACGGTTCAAAAAATGGAAGGAGCTACACAGAAAAGCATAGATGAAGAAGTAAAATCAAACGATGAAAATGTAGTTGAATCGAATGTACAGAAGTCTAAAATTGAGAATGATGATTCAGCACATGTAAAATCCGAAAGCCAGACGACGTCTACGTCGACGTTGAAGAGGAATAACATAATACACACCTCGGAAGACAATAAGGAACCAATAAGTACAAATAATAATCAAAACGAAAGAAATAGTCAGACCATCGATAAGGATATCGTTGATTCTGGCGAGACATGTGCGCTTGCAGTGCAATCTAATGAACAAGAAAGTACTGTAACATCTAGGACAAACGAAAGTGGTATGGAGAAACTTTTTGGTAAATCTTTTCTATGTTTCAACCGTTTTACTGTGACTGAGACCATCATTTCAGTTTCAGCAGTAGAATCTGAACCAGAAAATGCTATAGACAAACTGAGAGAGAGTTTAATTTACGAAGCATTGCTAAATATGCAGGCGTTACTAAAGTCGCGAATCAAACAAGAAAGAAATGAAATTAAACGACTAACTGAAATATTGTTACAACTAGGCCCGGAGAAAAAGAGACCAGAAAAACAGGAGCGACCATATTCGCCGAATGAAGCTGAATTAACAGCCATGATTCAATTAGTCAAAGAGAACCAATTACTGGAGGTATTCATCATCGTGTATAATTGCATGCAATCATTTTTAATCAGTATTTATATCATCGTTTTGTTTGATTTCAGAAAAAAATGACCACTTTAATTCGTAGTATCATAGAAGAAAAGGATGCTTGCATCGAACTCCGTATTCAATTAGCAGCGAAGACTTGACAGCTAATCAATGACAAATAATATTTGAAATTTACATAAAAAGAAAAATAATTACACAGATTCTGAACATATATAACATGATGTTTTGCACAGAATGAACATATATAGTTTATAAGATGTTATCTACAACCATATGTTTTCTCGATTTGCTCTATTCTCTTGTAAAGTAATAAAAAAAAAAAAAAAAAAAACTGAGAACATGTATATACACGTATATATTTCTTTGTTCAATGTATGTAAGTATTTGTGCACATGCATTTGCAATTTGTGGGCTGTTAATTACATTAGTAACATTAACAAATTAATGTATATTTAAACTATATTTTATATATTTATTTTAAAACAGGAATACTATTCTATGTAACATTAAAGCAACAAGTGTGCTTCTAGAATATCAATTTAAAAAGTTGTGTATCCGTACAAGTTTCAACATTCTCATCGACACATCGAATGAACATTAGTTTTCTTAACTTTTTCTCACGTTAGCGCAAACAAAAAACTTTTACTGGAATGTAGGACAAAAGAATATAAAGTGATATGATCGTATCTCTTTTTTCTATGTTAATACTGAGTAATATATTACACTTTACACAATCACTTTCTGTAAGCGAACATTCGAATAAAACAGAAAACATTATAATTAAAATTACATTAGCGCTATAGAATTAACGTTGAACAGTATAACATGGCTCTGACCGTTTACACACAAGTTCTGTGAAAACATTATTTAATAGCATACGGCTTATCGTTATTGTCCAATTCTCTAATTTGTGAAAATGACTATGTAGAATTTTGCGAAAATAATTTCATTCAACTTCCTCGACTTATACTTTCTTTTGACGATTAACAAAAATACTGTAACAATTTCGTTGATGTAGGACTCGATTTTTCCACAACATTATTCACATAAACTTTCAACGTTCTGACGTTTACTAATTAGGTCAGGCCTCAATCTGATTTTTTATTTATAATTTTTTTCGGAGCTTTCAGGATGATGGAAATTAAATTATAAGACAGACAAAGTTAATGACGGGAATCTCTTGGATAAAATTCAGCAAGGGTACTAGCAGGGATTCTCTTGAGCATCTCCTTGGGGAAGATACGTAACAGTTGCCAACCAATATCTAGTGACTCAAAAACAGTACGATTTTCGTAGCTTCCCTGAGAAATGAAGTTCTTCTCGAATTTGGAAAGGAACTCCAAGTACAACAAATCATCGGGGGTCAAAGCTTCTTCGCCGACAACAGCTTTCATAGCTTGAACATCTTTTCCAATAGCATAACAAGCATACTGAAATAAAATGATTAGTAGAATTTACAACATCTTGATCGTTTCAAAAGGTGAACATAACAAGACACTCACCAATTGATTAGACACATCAGAGTGATCTTTTCGAGTCATGCCTTCGCCGATAGCAGACTTCATTAGACGGGACAAAGACGGAAGTACATTAACAGGTGGATAAATTTGTCTGTTATGAAGTTGACGATCAACATAAATTTGCCCCTCTGTGATATATCCAGTCAAGTCGGGAATAGGATGAGTAATATCGTCGTTTGGCATAGTTAAAATTGGAATTTGAGTGATGGAACCGTTACGACCTTCTACTCGGCCAGCTCGTTCGTATATGGTAGCTAAATCAGTGTACATGTAACCAGGGAAACCACGTCGACCGGGTACTTCCTCACGAGCAGCTGATACTTCACGAAGAGCCTCAGCATAAGAGGACATATCGGTAAGTATAACTAAAACGTGTTTCTCGCACTGATAAGCTAAAAATTCTGCCGCAGTTAAAGCAAGACGCGGGGTAATGATTCTCTCAATGGTAGGATCATTGGCCAAGTTTAAGAACAGGCACACATTTTCCATGGAACCATTCTCTTCGAAATCTTGTTTGAAGAAACGGGCAGTTTCCATGTTTACACCCATAGCTGCGAATACAATGGCAAAGTTATCCTCGTGAGAATCCAAGACTGATTTTCCAGGTACTTTGACAAGACCAGCTTGACGACAGATTTGTGCAGCAATCTAAACGAAGTTACATAATGTCAGATTGTATAAAATATTACATGGCTTGGAAAGCAAACTTATGTGACTGTAATGAAAGTACCTCACTATGTGGCAGACCAGCTGCTGAAAAAATAGGTATCTTTTGACCACGAGCAATAGAATTCATAACATCAATAGCTGAAATGCCAGTCTGAATCATTTCCTCGGGATAAATACGTGACCATGGATTAATTGGTTGACCCTCAATGTCTAAGAAATCCTCAGCAAGAATCGGAGGACCTTTGTCAATTGGCTTGCCAGATCCATTGAAAACACGGCCCAACATATCCTCTGACACTGGTGTCCGAAGAATGTCACCAGTGAATTCGCAATGAGTATTTTTTGCATCAATACCGGAGGTACCCTCAAATACTTGAACCACTGCTTTAGAACCAGATACTTCTAATACTTGGCCTGACCTCAGAGATCCATCGGCAAGTTTTAATTGAACAATTTCAGCAAACTTTGGAAATTTTACTTCATCCAATATGACCAAGGGTCCATTTACACCTGAGACGGTCTTATATGCTAAAACAAGTGGAAATAAATTTAAAATATCAACTAATGTAATTTCATGTTTGTTTATAAAGAAAAAGTAACTGTATGGGTTCCTTAGTTTCAGTTTAATTTAAGTGTAATTAAAATAAGATAAAACAATTTGTTGAAATTATTATGTCAAGATCTATGTCCTGCAGTCACATGATGAGCAAATGGTACTTCCCTCTAAAAAGTCCATCCGATTGCTAATGAATTTTTTAAAGTAGAAAAGTTGATTATTCGAAGTTCTAATTGAGACTATGTGTAATCTTGTACAATTTAGGTATTACAAACAATTATGGAGCAAACAATTTTAAGATCAGCTGACTAGTTGCAAATCGATCCGCTGCTACGCCCAGTTTACGTCGAGAGTGTCTCTTTCCTTAGTTCGTTCTCGTGAATTTTAGGAAAGTAAATGTAACCACTTACTGAGCCGAGGCTGCGAAATGAAGTCTCTCGAGACAGCCAAAACATGTTCTTGAGTGGCTTGACATTGACCGATAGTTTTCGAATACATTTTGTCAAGTGATTTCCCTGCTCTGTTACGTCGGCCAAACAGCAGAAGGTACTGCCACTAGAGGCAGAGGCACTTAGAGCCCCGATAAAAGAAGACAGACTGAAACGTCAGGAGTGGGGGGTCACTTCGAATGTTGGACTTAAATCGAAGAAATGGTATATTATACGTTCAAATAAATGATTCGAATCAATAGAAAGTTTAGTGTGAGAAAAGTGTTAGTTTCCAATAATTATGTGACTGTTAAGTCGTACAATATTCCAATTAAATAAACTTTACATTTTCAACTTTGTAGATAAAGTGAACAATAAGTATCCGAGAGAGATAGACATAGGGGCACGTGCGATCACGTGGCTTAAACTGAATGATTCGTTGCACATTTATTATAAATATAATTTTTTTATGCTATAACCTACCGCTAGAAAAATATACTGTTGCAAATCTTAAAAATTATATACGAAATAAAATTGTTTCTAATTATGGAGTACACGTTAATTGAATCCTCGCGTACGTCTATCATCACGACAGTTCTTCGTTTCGCGCGTAACATTCTATTTGAATTGATATTATTCAAACGGAACATTTAATATTGATATTTTTATAAACGAATATAAGAATTCAATTTTTTCAAATCCTGGACTCATACTACTTGTCAATTAGAGGATTCACATAAGAATATCTATTGAAAAAATAATTAAAATATTGCGAATAAATAATTTTTCCAACAGTCATATCGTTTGCTGATCCTGAATTGACATTGAGGATTGACTTTTTGTACGTATGTGACAAGTATGGTGGAAAAAACATGTAGCGCCATCTACGGTAAAGAGCTCAAGCTATTAGCCAATGAGTACCATATTCTAAGCAAATGATGAACCATCATGCCTCTTACATGTGTCTTTTGTATTAAAAAATATAAATAATGATAATACGAATGTAGGTGATTTCAATGAATAGTTCGGCATCATCAGAACACATATGTAATTAGCATTTTTTTCAATTAATATTAAACTTTGTGCGTAAAGAGTAGAGTAGCGCCTTCTAACAGAATGAGTAGGAAAGTCGTTGACTAGTAGCTTGAGATTTTCGTTGTAGATGGCGCCACGGGGGGGTTTTAAAAAACCGGATTTGTCATTAGATGTTATAAAATTAAATATTATTAGAAATACCACAACAAATGATGGAGATAAACATTGTGGGTTTGGTCTTGTTAAGGATCATCTTCAGAATTTATTTAAAAAGAAACTAATTTTAACGGTCATTATATGTATATAATGACTTACTGTTCTTTTTATCTCGTGTGTTTACATCACGCTACATCGTTATATTCAGTCATTATCAAAAAGAGGAATCAAAATTAGGACATCTACCCAAAAAATTCCTGTAAATGAGAACTTGTGAGAATCAGATATTGTTCATAGCCATCTAGCGAGGAAGTCGGTTGCACGTAATTTAATCGGTGTAGTGCGATTACCTTCAGATGTGGAGCTACTCAGAGCTACTGCCGATAATTTCGCGCCGAAGAGGCGCGATTGTACAGTGAGACACGGTGGCGGCTGGTTCGATGATATACGGACATTTGATAAAATACAATTCCCTTTAATCTACACTTCGCACAATTTGATCGTGAACAGTGTTATTGTTGTTCCACTCGACACTGTGTCTTTGTGCTACAGTGACAGAAGACCACAGTGTGTATCTGAACCATGGCGACCCTAAAACGAATAATCACCTTGTCGAAAACTCTAAACACACTGACAGCCACGTCTCGCTCGTGTAGCTTCCAAGCGTCGAAAAAAAGCTATTTTACCTACGTGAAAGAGCCCTCCATGCCAATACCAGGCAAACAACCTTGTTGGCTCAAGACCGCCGACGAAGCTATCGAACAGGCAGAACTAGATTCAGGTAATTAATGATTCTCTAGCAACGCAAATGACAGATTTTGCAGATACTTCAGGCACGTACTGGTATGCTTTAATAAACAATGGAATCTTTAATCTACCAGGTGTCTGGATTGAATATTGTGTTTACTCTTAAAAGAGCTAACCTTGAACCACTTCAAGAATAAATCCAAATGTCAGTGATTTATATATACTTGGCATAATAGTGTCAAGATCATTCAGAATGAGATTTCAAAAATTGAACTTTTGAAGTGAAGAAGTTAAAATTATGAAAAAAAAATCATGCTCCAATCATGATATAAAAAATTCTATAAATGAAATAATTTATGAAAGAGAAGATAAAATAATTTCGTACGACTTCTCTTCAAAGATAGCGGAGTGTCGTGTTAATATTTTTCGCGCGGGCTTTGCGTTTTGTGATTCATGTTATAAGTAGGTTCTCATTTTTGTTTCAAATTGGTGAACATTGTACTCAAATAAGTACTTGTTATCTTTGTTGAATCATTATTGTTTATTACTACTTCGTTCCGTTTTGCATTACAAGTTTATACTTTTGTTGCAAAATCGTGGATATTGTACCCGAAGGAAACTTGTTATCGCCGTTGAATCATTATAATGATACAATATACTGTGTATTATGGCAATACGTCTATTTTTTTACGATAACAGATTATTTGCAGTCATTGAATATAGCGTACAAAATGTTGAATTCCCCAACGGATTTTCTTTCTCTCAATATTGTTCGACTGTAATGTCGAAATTGACGAATTTTTTAATGAAACTGTTACGGCCGATTTGGACCATATGTAAACGAAAAGATAACATTCATTACGTAATACAATTTGCGTACATTAGCTCAATCAATACTGATTACGGAGAATTGACTTAATAAGACGCTCGTCTAGTTACACAGGAGCAAAATAACTGGAATACTGTTATAGAAACACCGAAATACTTCATGATTCGCTTATAATACTCGATTTACGCAATCGGGTATTGCATCAATGAAAAACCCGAATATAAACTTTGTAATAAATATGAACACCACGAAATGAAAAAATAACCATTATAATTAATACTTATTATTTATTATAATTACGAAATTTATTTTGAGATGAAAAATTAACTTACTGATATTGTGCTCAAATAATTCGTATAAGTGAATGCATGTCTTAAGTATGTATATACTTAATTAAACTCCCACCTGTGGACTATCATGGCGTAAATTTTGTCTATGCATGCGACTTGTAAAACCAATTTGAGTGTTTTAAACAAGAATTCAAAATTAATTTCACTGTTAAATTATCTTGTTGAATACCTTAAATCCTCGATAAGTGTTCGAAGATTCCTCGGCACTGAACGTTAACTATTTCATGAACTAAATCTCATTAAAAAGTCAGCGTTACACCTGGGAACCTTTCATTGTCAGTGCCAAGGAGCCTTCAAACACTCATCGAGAATTTACTGTAGAACAGAAAGAATATGGCAGCGAGATGCAAGTATTTTCAAGGTGACAACTGTTTTACCAATTTGGCACGAATGCGCAACGAATTTAAAATTCTAAAGTTGTAATGACTTGAGCACAGGTCGAATTCTCCGATCATGAGTCACATGCATTTCAAGGACGGTAATGGATATCGTCTTTCACGATACTTTCTTCAACAGGCAACTTATCGCGATACTTGAATGTTAAAGAAAGTAAACAATTTATGCCGTCGTTTCATAATCTGTTTTGTGCCTTTTATAAAAAAAAATGCGACACTAAAAATTAATTAGGACTCTAAAATTGCAGTAAAAGGAGAAAGTATACACTATTTGACGAGACTGTGTATAATATTATCGTGTATAGAATTCCAGACAAAATCATTTATGTTGTTCACAATATTTAATATTAATATCATATTTCTTTGACTTTTAATTTTTGATTTTGTATTGTGGTATAAGAATAAAGAATTTTCGTCAACTTTTTTACTACGTCTTTTGTACTACTTCAATCTTTTTTATTACGTCGCATGTACATAGGAAATATTCATTATTATTAATTTGTTTGTTAAATAGATCAAGAGCTCTTGAATTCGTGTTCTCCTGCCAAGGCAGAGTGTTTTGAGGTCAAGGTTCAAATGCCTATAGTTACATATGAATGTAAATTTATTTTAATGCCAAGTGTCTCGAAAAAAAAACGTAATAAAAATCACTAAACATATTTGCATTATGTTGATGAACCACAATATATTCACTTGACAAATAGTAAGAGATAGTTTGATGATAATATATATTATATTTAATATATATATTTTTTTAGGTGAATCTAACATTATCCATTCTGTTGTATAAATAGTATAGCACATGGGACACAAAAAAGTTTTATTTTATATTCATTGTATATATACATTGTAAAGTTAAGTTCAAATAATCTAATAAGTTGTATCCATCATACCTAAAATTGTTATTTATTTTAACATTTAATTAATAGCATTTTTTAATAGAATAATTTTTTATTACAGATCAAGTAGTATTTGTTCAGGGAGCAGCAGCAACACCTTCCGAACTCTTAAGGGCAATGACTGATTATGGTGTACGATGTGACATAAGAAATGTAAAATTATACCATATGCACTTGGAGGGTCCAGCCCCATTTGCTAAGCCTGAAGCTGCAAGTATGTCATTATCATGATTCTCCTCTTTGTTACAATGCAATAAGCGTGAATACTTTGTCATATTGATGAGGCTTTCGATGGTTACAATCCATTTATTGAACAGTGACAATTCTTTCCTCTTCCCCATTGCATCTAATAAGTATCACCCAACTAATTTTAAATAGTCAAGATAAGATATTATAGTTCAGAGAAAACTTTTGTCAATCCGTGTTCATTTATTCTTCCATCATTTCCCCCATTTTATTTCTACAGATATACCTAATACGATAGGAATAGAGGAACAAAAGATCCAACCGCGGACAGAAGTGTTCTAATTATATACCAATACTCTTATGTATTATGACACTTTGTATACAGAACATTTTAGGTCGATGAGCTTATTTATTGGGGGCAACGTGAGACCGGCCGTGCAAGCAGGAACCGCCGATTGTGTTCCGATTTTCTTACACGAGATTCCACGATTATTCAAGGAAGGATATGTTAAACCGGACATATCCCTTATTCACGTTAGTCCACCGGATGTCCATGGATACTGCTCGCTCGGTACCAGCGTAGATTGTGTCAGGTCCGCCGTGAGTCATAGCAAATATATCGTGGGTAAATTTGCAAATCTTTCTAATTTTTCCGTCATTCTGCTTTCACATAGATTATTAATCTGTAATAAATAATTTTGTTTTTTATTACTGTTTTATAGCGTTAGTGAACAAGAACATGCCGAGGACATTCGGCGACGCCATCATTCATGCCAGTCACTTAGACTTTGCTGTGGAGTATCACAAGCCACTTCCTGTTCACCCTGTGAAAGCCCCATCGAAAGAGGAACAGCAGATCGGTAGAAATATTGCTGAACAATTAGTGGTGGATGGAGCTACTTTGCAACTGGGCATCGGAAGTATACCAGATGCGGTGCTGTCAGAGCTAAAGAATCACAAGGATCTTGGGATTCATAGTGAAATGTTCAGCGACGGCGTGGTAGACCTTGTAAATAGAGGATGTATTACTAATAATAGAAAGACAATGCACAAGGGCCGAATCGTTGGGTCTTTCTGCGTTGGCTCGGATAAATTATATGACTTTATGCACAATAATCCATTCATTGGTGCGTGTACTTCTAAGAGATCTTCTATACGGTTAAATTCACATACAGAAATATACAACGATGAATGTTACAGAAATGTTGGTAGTGGATTACGTGAACGATCCCAAAATAGTAGCCAAACAACCTCACATGACAGCCATTAACTCGTGTATCGAGGTCGATCTTACGGGACAGATTTGCTCAGATAGTATTGGAACGAGAATGTATTCTGGATTCGGAGGACAATTAGATTTTATTACGGGTGCAGCGATCAGCGATGATCGTTGCGGAATGCCAATTATTGCGTTGCAGTCCGTTACCGGCAAGGGCGAGAGCAAAATTACACCCGTTCTGAAACTGGGTACGCAACAATCACTTTCATACGTTATATATTTTTTATTACGGATATTTAAATGACGGGCGTGCCATGTATATGTTACTGTTTTCAAAACGTTAACGTTTTATTCCTGATGAATAGGTGCCGGTGTCGTCACAAACAGAGCAGTTGCTCGATATGTCGTCACGGAACACGGAATTGCCAGTCTGTTCGGTAAAAGTCTTCAGCAGCGAGCTTACGAATTAATTCAAGTCGCCCATCCCGATCACAGGGAGGCTCTAGAGAAAGCAGCATTCGAGCGGTTGAAAGTCATGCCAGCGCCATAAGTGGTCCACCGAAAGCAACGCCGAAAGACTCTTTTTTAATAGCATTTTGCGATATTTGTTGTTCTCTACAACCGATAAACATTTATTCGCGTTGAAGACAACTATCATAAACTCTTTGTGTAATTTACTCCTTCTTGCCAGGGATAAAAATAACATAAAGTCGTACACCGACGAAACAAATATCGAAAACTAATCTTCAATATACATAGGTAATTACATTCTGAGTAAGCATCGGAAGGCCTTCTATTGTCGAATAGACACTGAATTATTCATTATTAAACAAACATGGAAGAAGCTTTAATTTTAAACGAGTATTTAACATTAGTCACGCCGAGAACACTGTATAATGACGATGGATACTTTTTATATGGAGTTTTAAAGTCGTTCTTCTGTACAATGCAATTAATGTAACAACTGGAGACACATCGCATTCGAAGAAATAAATTCAAGATGGAATGTATACGTTTGTAATTATTCCGTCATCAGTACAGTTTTTTTTTTGTTACCAATCAATTTACTACGGGGTATCCGAAAATGTAACGTATGTCGTGACAAATCTTGCATTGGAAGAATTGAAAAATCGAATACCGGCAAATGCGACGTTCAAATTACTTAGCGTGGAGATGGCAACAGATCTAATGCGATCTGGTGTGAAGTGATATCTGAAATCAATGAAATCGTTTAGATTATGTGTTTTCCAAATTTTCATGTAATTCCAGTATATATTCCATCGCGCCAACGAACTTGCACGAAATTCGACCGTTTACGCATTTTTTCACGGCTAATACTTTCGTAATATACTTTATGTCAAAATGTTCAGCTTTAATTTCCGTCGAAACTTTGAGTCGTTGAATTCAGCGTTCACTAAATTCATGCCAAAGAGATCGTTCAACATGTGCGGTTTAAAGTACATACGAGAACCTTTACAACCACTGAAGCGATGTCCACGATGGGTTTGTGTAGAAGATGCAGTGAAAATTATAAATTCAGGTAATTACAGTGGTTTCACGTAGAAGTGCTTAAATAGATTGTGTTTTGTAACTACATTATGAATATTGACTAATTGACAGCAACATTAATTAATTAGGGAACTTTGTTCTCTGCAGGATTCTAAGACATTTTGAAAAGATTATTTAAAAAATACTTTACACTTAGGATGATGTCAGATCGGACAAAGAATAGACATACTCATTAAATTTCTTCTTCCAGAACATTTAGTTTTTATACAAGGAGGTGCAGCGACGCCTAACGAACTGATACGCGCCATGACGGAACACGGTGTTTGCAATAATCTACGTGGGGTACGATTAATTCATATGGGTCTCGAAGGAGATGCGCCATTTGCAAGTCCTGAATTCGAGAGTACGGTATTTTGTGATTCCGAGTCTATGTTGTGTCCCCTAATTTTAATATAACCGATTCTTTTCTAGAACACTTTAGATCCATAAGTTTTTACATTGGAGCTAATCTTAGGGAAGCGGTTAACGAAGGTAGAGCAGACTATATTCCAATATTTCTCCACGAGGTACCGAAACTTTTTTATGAAAGAAGAATCATACCGGATGTCGCGTTGATTCATGTTAGCGTGCCAGATGCTCGTGGCTTTTGTTCCCTTGGCGTTAGCGTGGATTGCACGCGTGCAGCTCTTAGCACGGCTAAAGTGATAATTGGTTAGTAAATGATTGTGAGAATCGATGAAAAATCGTTATAGGTCATTGATGGAGAATTCAGTTAGTCGATGGGATTGCCCCAGAGCCTCGGTTACAACCACTTGATTGGAAAAGCCGAATCTAAACAATGAATAATATGCACAAATATGTTGGATTAAAAAAGTTATTTCGTTTGACACAGCCCAGGTCAATGAACATATGCCGAGATCATTTGGGGACACAGTGATTCATTCCAGTCATATTGATTGGGCCGTGAAGTACGACTGCCCTTTACCATGCGTGGCGAGTACCCCGCCAAATGAAATTGAAGCAGAGATTGGCAAGATTATAGCGCAGAGGCTAGTCGATGATGGGGCGACATTACAGCTCGGTATAGGCAACATACCGGATGCAGTCCTCTGTTCTCTTGGGAATCACAAAGACCTTGGCGTACACACGGAGATTATGGGCGACACAATGGTAGATCTCGCGGAACGCGGAAACATTACTAATAAAATGAAGCCTAAGCATAGGGGACGTATGGTTAGTTCTTTGGCAATTGGTACCAAACGGGTGTACGACTTTTTGCACAATAATCCATTTGTAGGTGCGTGTATCATTTCACAGATTTTTCTAATTACATTTTATCTTTTCTTTTATGCGTAACTTTCAAGTATTTCCTTTACATAGAACTGCTTACAATCAACTATGTCAACGATCCTCGAGTAATATCCCAACAGCCGAAAATGACTGCCATTAATTCCTGCATAGAAATGGACATTACTGGTCAAATATGTTCAGACAGTTTGGGCTGTAAGTTGTATTCCGGTTTTGGTGGGCAACTCGATTTCATTCGAGGTGCTGCAATGGGTCAAGATGGACGGGGGAAGGCTGTGATAGCTTTCCCGTCGGTTACAAGCAAAGGGGAAAGTAAAATCCAGCCTGTACTTAAAGTTGGTACGAACTAACAGAAATATCGTACATTTTTCAAATTAGTTTGACTTTGGAATATTATCATTCTTAAATGTAATTGCAAACGTTTGTTGAACAGGTGCCGGGGTTGTAGTAACAAGAGCACACGCACATTATATTGTAACGGAGCACGGAATAGCGCAACTTTTTGGTAAAACGTTACGTCAAAGAGCAAACGCGTTGATTCAGATTGCTCATCCTGATCATAGAGAATGTCTCGAGAAGGCTGCATACGACAGACTCAAAACTAATCCGACAAAATATTTGTAATTTATATATGTACGCACATGTATTCTACAGGTTGTTCGGCTACTGAGTGTCAGAAACTTTAAGGGGTGATTCTATATGTCGAAATGAAATGAAAATCAAGAATAACGAAACTGTGTTCGGGGTTTCGTTTTTAAGTTATTGACAGGTGAAAATTCGGGCCAGAAAACGCCTGAAATGAAGCAATCTGCGTACAAGCTTCAAGCGCGGAGCACGACAGTCCTGGCACATATACTGGCATATTCTAAGAATATACACTTTTATCTCGTAGCCAAAAGAGTGATTTGTAACATCTACACTCGCGTCGACTCTATTTTCTTACGACACTTCATAAAAATGCACGCACGAATCGTTGCACGACAGTAAACCTGGTTACTGCCATCGAACTAAGGAAATACTATTACTTGAGTCCCATGCGAAGGTCAGAAGAGTACTGGCAGTGCATAAACAGTGAATGGGTATTACTACCTGTTTTTCGGCGGCCGCCCCAACGCTCGCGAATGACCTACAAATGTTGGAATGGATTGATAACTTGGAAACAAAGCCTCCAACACATTTCTTGATTTTTCTTTCATTCTAATATGTAAAATCGCCTATTAAAGATTCTTACACCAATAGCCAAATATCCTGTATATGTGAATGTGTAAGTTACGTATCGTTGGACGCATGGCCCAAACACTTGATTTCATAGTATATACGAAAGTTTAAATTCTAAAAAATTTAATTTGTCTCAGTATTGAGATTCGAATACTACTAGATTTTCGCATCAGTTTAAAATGTTCATGTCCTCTCATAAATAATTGACTCTATGTGAATCGAGTACCATTTTGTGTAGGTAAAAAAAAAATACTAAGATTTATAATTGATATACTATTTATAATGAACACTTTCTTGTATATGGTTTGAGCAGTTATACACAGATATTTTTGATATTTTATTTGAAAGATATGTATACAAAATAAATATGTACAAACATAATAGAAGTTTTAATTTATAAATACATTGCTAGATTTAAAAATTGAAGCCTATCTTGCTAGAAATTTATGCCTTCGGGTAAAGTTCCCTCTCGTCGTCTCTTCTCTACATTTTCATAATATTCGGAAAAATTAACGTAAGACTTAATCCTAGCGTTTCGATCTGTTCGCTTTGCACCAGGAGGATACATATCTGATGTTGAAGTTTCACTTGTCGATCCATCCAAATTTTCATCTGTAAGTCCTGTACTTGAATAATCCTCATTCTCTGGCATTGTTATTATCGGAGCAGTTTCCACAATCGGATTAAATCTAACCGACTGACTGGTTGGACTTTTTAATGCGTTCAAAAGCGGAAAATTAAAATTCCGTACGAGAAGAGTTATATCGTCTCGTTTACCAGTAGTCACTGTACTTTGGGAGATACTCATATTTATATCATGATGAATTCTTACAACTTTATCTACAACAGCTTGAGCGACTCCAGTCAATGTAGACTGTACACGAAACTGAAATTCATTTCATGAAGCTTGTCATAGTACAATGATATAATAACGTGCAATTGTTTCATACCTGTTCAACAGCTATGAGTGCTAATTCTTTATTAACTTGATCAGTACCAGTTGCTTCTTCTAATGACTTATAAAGACCTCGGGACATAAGTAATAAGAACCTGCACGATTCATCAAGCTCTATTCCACCATGAATTTCTGGTTCAGCAATAATGGGCTCTGCTGTGGCAGTTGCCAATTCTTCAAATTCTCTATAACCTCCCTTAACAAGATAATTTCCAAGGCAACGTGTATTTTCTTGATTTCCAAGATGAGATCCTTTCATATAAATTAATTTTAAATATTTTATTAACTATAAATCATTTAAAAATTAATTCCGACATTATTAAACTACCTTGTCTTATGGAATCAGTATCTAGTCCTAAGTGAGCTAATCGTAACAATTCATCCTCATTCCTTAAATCATGATCAACACTTAACTGTACAACTCTTAACACCTGATTACTGTCTGTTTTACATAATAAAGCTCTACTGTCACCAACATTTGCAACATATAACCTTCCACCATATACAAGAGCTACAACTGCACTAGCTCCTGCTGATAGCTCACAATTCAACGAGTTCAGTTTATCAACCTGTATGAAAATGTATTATGCATTTTATGATTCCTCTCACTAAGAAAGAAATATTTCAGTAATTGGAAGGAAACTGTATTTATTAACTAGTTTTCTCTTCCATATATCTATATTTGTAAGAAAACTAACTAACACTAACCAAATGAGGAAATTTTTGATATGTTTCGTAAGAATTTAAACCATCAGGTATATCAAATTGCAGGCTGGCTCGTTCAGCCAGAAGATCACCAATAGAGTCTAGATACCCTCGTTCTACAGCTATAAATGCCTGTCTAAAATAACAAGTTATTACAAACATAATGTTAATATTCCTTCAATTAACAATGAACATGTGTGCTTTTCTTTACACATCATTACCGAAGAACTTCTTTGATCTCCTCATCGGTCGATTTACCATTTAACTGACCCAATAAAATCTCTGCAGCCATTCGCTGCATAGCAAAGTTTGCTGCGTTTGTTCCTTCATGACCATCAAACACTCCGTAAAGGAACGTCGAGTCATCGTAACGACAATGAAAGCTGCGATCCTCGAACGAATGTTCCTCTTGTCTATATCCATCCTCGCGATAAATTTGATTCGTAGAAAATCCTACTCCTAAATTTCAAGAATGTAAATATTGACATACACAACTGGTAGGTTATATTTACTGGAACAATACCTACCGGATTGCTTACAAACTGGCAAATCATCAGTCCAACTGTACTGAGTGTCCTGAAAAGGCATTAAATTAGGGCGTTCTGCCCTAGTTGGCATTATTAAAAATACAGTCAAACCAAACGAAGAATTCCTGATATCAAATGCAGACTTACGTTTGTAACATATCAACCGAGAATCGATTTCTGTCAGCTACAAGTATCGAGAAGTCTGTAACAATCGATTAAATTTAATTTTGAAATTGACGTTGCAAACTATTAAACTCTACTTTTTAATTGCTCTGCTATGCTTACATATCTCAATGCGTACTTACTGTGTACACATATACTTAATTAAGATACGTGTAAATAATATCTGAAATAAAACCCATAATAACAATGTAGAAAATGTCGAATTAACTTACCGTTAATACATGCAAATTAAGCTGTAATTATATATAATTCACATTTCTTTATCATGTGAAAAATAAAATTTTCTACCTGCTTAATAGAAACTGATTATGTATTTTATTCTATGAAGTTTCCACTTTTTTGGAACACATGTTTTATAGATTTTATACTATTAAAAACAAAAGCAATTCCTGTCATAAATTCTTCTCCTACCTGCCAAATGGCATATCCTTTAGGTACATCAACAGCACAAAATTTTCCGTAATTAATAAACGATAAAACTGATCAACATTCGACATGTAATATTCGTATTCAATCAATAATGGATTATTAATTTCACAAAATACTTGCAACATGAAGACCTGACAAAATTACTCATGAAATATTAGCGAAATAAACGATTATCAACAAAAAGTAATATTTAAATAGGTTATTATGTATTACATATATATATATATATATAAACTTTAATTCTACTTATTAATCATTTTTGTATACTAATATTACTGTTTCAATACGATTACTCAAGTGTGGATGTTTATGCATTTAGAAAAAACAGACAAAATCTTTAATGGAACATGTTAAAACTTCTCTACTTTTCTTCTGTCTAATGATAACAGCTTTTTAGTTTCAGCCTTTATAAATTTTTCTATAAAAGAATTTGCTTAAACATTCACATTCTCCTCATTATATGAAAACTGTAATTTTATCTTCTTATACATATACATACTATCTTTCTGTATACATATTCACATTTTTAAGATATAATAAAATTTCTTTTTAGTTTGATTTGTTTGCTGCTTCTTTAATTGCTTACAACTAAGTCTCTTAATTAATTCTTAAAAAACTCGCTTCTAATTAAATTCTTCCCTTGATTCTGCGAAAGAAAAATGAGTCGAAATCCACGGGCCGGAACAGGCCTAACAAGAACACAACAACTCCGTGAAGCAAGGACTGTCGCACGGATACGAGAAATTGAACAGAAAGAACATACATTGAAATCCCAAGCCGATGCACTTAGGCCACGCAGAAGAATAGACAGACCTGAGCCGAAGAAAGTAGATTTTCACAAACCAGGAATGACCAAAGCAATGTTGGCTAGAGTAAAACAAGCGGAAAAGTTTAAGCAAGAATATGAGCAGAAAAAACAAATGGCAACCGGCGGTGATCGAATACCAAAAAGAACAGCAGCTCCAATAGGAGGCGACGCCAGGTCGTGACAGTAGTCGAGTCTGATTTAAACAAACACTTACAAGGCTTGTTAGACGAACAAACAGTATTCGAGCAGTCTTCTAACTTTTCTTGTATTTTTTGTGCTATTACATTAATAGAAATGTAACTGTAATATAAAGTCCCTGTTACCATTGTAAGAATCATTTTTAATTAGAGTGGGTAGAGAAAGAATGACACAAACAGCAAAATCTGTTCGTGTGCCAGCTACATCTGTTCCTAGAGCTGGACCCAGCACTGCTAGAAAAGGCGGAATTCCAAGACCACAAACAAGAACCCCTGAAGTAACTTTACAGAGAAAGACTACTGAATTAGCTAAAATGATGAATGCTGATGTAATTACGGCTGATACAATCGGTGAAGGACCTATCAGGAATATTGTAATACCACCTGGCACAATGAACGAAAATGTTACTACCATCATCAGTCTACCACAGCCTGCAGATGCTGAAACAAAAGCGACATCACAGATAGCGAATCGCTCTATACAAGTGATCAGGTGAATCCTTAATATTTTGTTGCATTTGCAATTATATATAAAATCTTTCCAACTTTCACAGTGAGTCTCTTGATGAGCAAGATGCTGTAGAAGCTGCAGCAGTAAGAAACAAGCTAGAAGATTTACAACAAGCCAGACGAGATTTTGTCATGGCTGTAGCAAATGTTGGTGGTAACGCTGTTAACATTGCAGATGAAACTCCACCTGAATTTTCTTCTTTCCTAGATTCACCTCCTTCTCCTCCTCGTAGACAAATAATTAGGTAAAGCTTAGAATAAGATTTCGAAATAGTTCTGATTTATAATCAAAAAGAAGTTTCTTATGATTATCCGAATGATGTTAGTTAGAAACTAATATTCCTTATTGTCTCATTCCATGAACCGTGACGATCATTATGTCTATTGATGACACGTAGAGTCCCGGACATAGAAAGCGATTTTCTTAAACCTGAATATGGAAGGGATCATCCAGACGTCATAGCAGCTCGGGAGTTCCTACGGAAAGCTAAAGAAAACTTGGAAGCAAGAGAAGCAGAAAAAAGATTAGACGAAGAATTTGAAAGAGTAGCAGCTGGAGTCGCGGATGAGTTACAGATGGATGTTCCCTTCCACGAGGAACTTTACGTAGATAAAGATATATCTTGGGCAGAAGACGATGAAACGGGCACAGCCATGCCAGTTCCATCTAGGGTTAAAGCTTATGCATCTCCAATTCCACAACAAGCACAGGCTTATAAACATAAGTCATTTGATCCAGACGAATTAGAGAAGTTCTTTGACGTTCAACGTTATCCACCTTGTCCACACTGTGGACCTCCATCAGGTAGAGAGGATCTACATCCTGATTTATGGGACTTGGACGATCCATGGTTTAGACAACCTCCACAGCCTGATGTGCCAGATCTAATAGAATTTGATCTAATGGATTTTGACTAAACCTTAATTATATAACGTTGCACAAACGATTCTTCATAATGACTGTAAAATATTTAAAGTCCTGTGTAATATATAATTGCGATACGCGTGTAAATAATAACGATAGTACGTTTAATAAGGGAACATTGCGTATAATTAACAAAATTTCATACTTAGAGATCACTGTCAATTACTTCTTAAACTTAACACAGAGAAACGTGAAAATACAAATAATAAACAAACGTAATCTATTTTTAATTGATTTAGGTTTTAGTATGAATAATCATCATTAACCCGTCGTTACTTAAACAATGAACTGTAGCTATACAAAGCGCACATATTTATAGGTGATCAATGTGTAGATATAGCATGTGAAAAGTAAGTATTGCACTCCAAAAATGAATGCATATTAATTTAACCTCGATGATGTATCGTTTATGTTAACGTACCAAATGTTAAAGGTTCAATTATTGTGCCCAATGTATTTATCAGTGATTGTGCGAGACGTTTCATTTAATTATAAGGTTTTCTTGTCTTATCGCATGAACAAACGTGTATACCAACTACAAACTGCCTAATACCATTTAAAATGTTTATAACGAATTTACCGCGAAATTAAATTACATGCAATTGAAAATATATCTTTATATATAAGCACCGCAAGTATAATGGCGACACCCACTAATGGTAATGGTAACCTTATAGACGAATTCGAGGAAGCATTTCAGGTATATTCTACAAAATATTTTCATTCATTCTTTAATCATTTATATTATCTATACCGTGTCTATTACAATATCATGCGTTAAAAACAAATATTACTTACAGCAATGTCTGAGTATATTAACAACAAAGGACGAGGGGTTAGGAAGCAATGGGATTGGAGTGTCTGGTGGTTTGACTGTGGATAAGGAGGAAGCTCGTAGCGAAGTTGAACAAGTCACATTAAGGTTTATAGACTTGGCAAGACAAATGGAGGCCTTCTTTTTGCAAAAAAGATTTCTATTATCTGCATTAAAGCCAGAGCTAGTAGTGAAGGAAGATATTAATGATCTTAGAGTAGAGTTAGCACGTAAAGAAGATCTTATAAAAAGACACTACGATAAGATTGCAGTATGGCAAAATCTGTTAGCAGATCTGCAAGGTTGGGCAAAGTCGCCAGCCCAAGGTCCAGCACCTAATGGTAAGAATCGGTAGAAATTATGAAATGTAAGAGAGTTCATTAATTTTTTAATGCTATAGGTTTGCCAAATGGTACTCAAAGTGGACAAAGTCAACAGACCACAAATGGAGGAGGAAATGCAACAATGCAACAGCAGCAACAGATACTACATCAACAACAACTCCAGCAGCAACAACAGTTGCAACATCAAATGCAACATCAAATGCAGCAACAACAGCTTCATCAGCAACAGGTATTTAAATAATACCATTACAAGAAATGCTGAGACTTCTATACTCAGGCAGCTGTTTAAAATTACTGTTGGAAATACTCTTTTGTTTTTCTTTAATATTACATAAAAAAGAAAGTTTTAAAACTGCGTGGTAGATTAAACTGTACATTCACAGAAAGTTTATTTTGTCATGGTGGTTGTAAGTAAAAAGTAACATTTTGGATTATTATTCTTTAACGTTCACCTTGCTTTAGTTGGAAACTAAGATTTAATCATGATGTGAATTATTGAAAATTCATTTATACAAAGTATTGTTGCATCATACAGTTATTTGTATCAAAAGATTATTTATACTTGCTATATAATGCATTCAATCATCAGATTGACTTCTATCTAGAAATGGTATATTTATTGTTATTAGGCTTTTTATATTATTTGTTACTATCTGAAAGTGAATACCACTGTTGAATGATTGTATGTGTCTGCGTGTGTGCATGCGAGCGTGAATGTACAATATGTACATAGATGGATTAAATTGTTAAGGAATCTTTTGTGATTCAAAATATTCATCAGAATCATAAAAACTATTTTTGCTCCTTTTTCTCTTAAAGTAGTTACTATTCAGAATATAAAATTTTTCAATCGTATTGCACAAAAAGCAATGTATACTAGTGTTGCATATAATCAGTGCCTTACAGAACTCCTACCCACAGAATTATAACATGTAAAAGAAAGAAATTAAAGTGCTTCTATTAGTATTTGCGATACATAAAATTATAAAAGCAGGAAATCAATTTATAGAAAGAAGAAAGTAACAATACATATACATACATGTACTTGCATAAACGTATTATGAAATGGTGCCAAAACTATTGAAACTACAGTGTGTACAAATGTTTAGCCAAAAACTGCTATAATAAATCTGGTAACAGCAATAATAAATGAATAAATAAGCATACATCAGTCTACTTAAAATCAACAGTGAACCAAACGATCCTTATTATTGATAAATCATAACATAGGAACAAAGAGTAAAACTTGTAATCTAATGTGACTTCACAAGAAAAGATGTATACGCCTGCATATGTGCACACATATCCACTAATATTTATATATACGCATATTTTCACTTCGCTTTTATATTTTTTTATATAGTACATGTTTTCACATTGCGTATTAAAAAATTGTTAAAGAAACAAGATATTTCTCAGTACTTGTAAGCTTTTCTGTTTTTAACGACAAATACCATTTGCATGTAAACATGTAAGCATGTGTATTGTATCGATATGAAAGTCCCCTCGAATGAACACCTTTATATTCAGAATATCGTACTGCAATCATATTCACAATAAATCATAATAGCTACAAGTCAGACTTTCTGACACGAATGTCTAAAAATCATATTGAACATTGCAGCTGTTTCATTAAGACCAATAACTGCAAGAGAAAAACATATGCCATTTCACTTGTGTTGTCTTTACATACAAGTAGACGTTTGCAGAATAAATCTCTGTTCATGGTAAAAAACAACATTGTGCTTTCTTTCATTTCCCTCGCCTAATTACTGTTCCTGGCTACCTTGATGGCTTGTAACAATCGGATCAGCAATTTTATTTCACCTCTGGAATCTCTATACCTAAATATGTCCATTTACGATACTCCAGAGCTCTTCAGGACCGAGGACAATGTCAGGATTGGTTCAAGTCCTTAATCCTTATTTTTCATTCAGTATAGATTTTTTATAATTTACGTAGAACATTTGACGAATCGTAGAAACTGTAATGCAACGGTAACATCATTCTCAGTGAATATTTGCTGTAACGTTGCAGGTGCAGCAAGGTTCCGGTGCTCCTCCTACATCCGGTCTTCAAGGAGTCGGAGTCTCAGTCGGACAACAGGGAATGTTCATGGCGCAAGGTGGTGTAGGCGTAGCTGGGGCGAGAGCTGGATTTCCCGTTGGAGGTGTGGGAAGTAGCGCTCTTCAAGGCCCGTTAGCCTTCCTGGAGAAGACAACGAGCAACATAGGAATGCCAGAAAGGCGGAGTTGACGCGGAAGGGGGAGGGGCCGGGGTCGGGGTCGAGGAAGAGGCCGAGGAAAAGGACGAAGCGCAGGAGGAAGTCTGCCTCCGCCACCACCACTCCTCGATACTTCAGACCCGTCGTCGTATGCTGCTGCTGCCGCAGTCGCAGCTGCTGCGGCAGCGCCCCTTCCCTCTCCACAGCAGCAGCCTCCACCGTCGTGTACATGAACATCTTTACAGTGATTAATTTATGTTGTGAAACACACCGTTTGTGACCGTAGACTCTGCCCCTAGAAACAATGTAGTTCATTTTTATTTATATGCTAGGGAGTTCGAATGAAGGCATCGAGAAAATGAAAACTCCACTTGGTTCAGAGATGTCCAACGTCGGTGCCATCTAACACAGGAAGCATTAAAATACTTCGTTTAGATTTAAGATTGTGTTGCAATAATTTTGTGACAGGCATGCGAGAACATGTGTGATAAAAATAGGTATGCGTACCGTTAGTTGTTCTGAAGAATGAGAGCTTTTTTTTGTTGTCGTTGAGGAACGATGTGAATTACGCGGTACCACCAGTTTCATTGAATTGTTTCGATATAAAATAGCTAGAATATAGTACCATTTAGTCTTTGTTGTAAAACTTTTATGGGTTTATGTCTTGCGCAATCATTAATGTAAGTATACTTTGGCCATTAGTCTCCATAAGGTAGTAACTCGGAAGACTATGAAAAATATGATGCACCCGTAAAACAGAATGTCTGATAAGATTTTTTTTAAAGAAGGGTAGCAGCAAGCATTGTACATAACAAGATTGTGTAGTGTGAAATAAAAGTAATGAACTTTCACGTGTACATAGAATTAGAGGCACAGTTTTCCATACAATGATTCTTGTATTTTATTATATTAAGTTCAAATAATTGTTAGTACTTTTACAAGTCGTGTGTAATGTTTACACAATCTTGATGAGTATCGTCTGATGTATTTCGGATATGACGCAAATAAAATATAAATTGCCCAAATAACGACATACCTCCCACGAGTGTCTGTCAACTCATTTTTTGTTATACAAATTTAGTATATCCTCTGCATAGTATTGTACACATGTATTCCTGGTACTACTGTATGACACTTTATTTCCTTTTTTTTTTTGTATACTACGGTTACCAATGTTCAGTGACACTGGTAATTGATCACTGTTCATCGAATTTAACTGTTTACATAATATGAACAAAATCACTGTACAAAGAAGGATATGAATTCATTACATTTGTACCAAATATTGCTGTCGTACTGTAAGAAAATGCAATCTGTACACAAACGTAACGACTACATATTTTGTGACTGACGGAACATTTGGTTCAATTTTTGCCTACATTCAGATTTAATTTGATTCATTATAATTTTCATATTCAATTGTGGTCCGTTTACACATACGACATACGTGAATACGGTAGGAATGTAATAAGAAGGGAGGTGGGCAGCGTATATATAAAACGTATACGTATTTTTATACATATGTATATAGAAAAAGAAACAGATGATATTATATATATATACATATATACATGTGTGTATACACATATGCATACGTATATATAAAAATAAACCATACAATTAGCACCATACGACTTAAGTCAGTTGTATACTTTAACAAAATGTCTGTATGAACTGAATAAGCGTACGGGTTGGGCGACCTGCCATTCCAGCTGGAATGTAAGCTACCTCATCGGGTGCAGGACCCATCACTCCTGCAATATCCAAATGCAACCATGGTGTATTGTTTTCAACAAATTCTCGCAAGAAAGCGGCCGCTGTGCACGAGCCACCGCCTTTGGTTTTCGCGACATTATTTATATCTGCTGATTTAATTTTCTCTGCAAATAAAACCAAGTTACATGCGTAAGCTATCAATTCTAAAATGTCAGGAAATTTATAAGCAATTGAATTATCATATTACTTGTCATTTCATCTGTGAAATATTGCCAAAGAGGAAATCTCCACACTCGATCTCCAGTTAGAGTACCAGCATCTCTTAATTTCTCATAGAGTGTACCGTCATTTGTGAAGACTCCAGTTGCAGCTCCTCCCAAACTGATTCTCATTGCACCAGTTAGTGTTGCAATATCCAAGATAAATCTGTAATATATTTACATGTACCATAATGTCTCTTAATTTACCGGATTGTTTAGTTATTTATGTTTGTCGAGTGAGTAAATCGGCTATATTTCTGTGAATCCATAAAACAACTACCTTGGATCAAATTCGTGAGCATAGCAAAGCGCGTCAGCAAGAATCAGTCTGCCTTCTGCATCTGTATTATCTACAATGATACTTTTCCCATTCATTGCGACCACAAGATCTCCTGGTTTCGTTGCAGTACCGGAAGGCAAATTCTCCGTAAGTGGAATTAAACCGATCATGTTCACTTTCAGCTTCAGTTCAGCTGCAGCTCGAATCGCAGCAACTACACACGCCGCCCCAGTCATGTCTGCACGCATTTCGTCCATGTCAGCTGGAGGCTAAAATTATTATTATTATTTATACAATGACCCAGGCAAGGAATTTTGCTAGGTAATAACTTACCTTGAGACTGATACCGCCAGCATCAAATGTAACACCCTTTCCGACAAAGACAATCGGTTGAGAATTATCATCAGCACCTTTATAGTGAATCTCAACAAACTTCGGTGGTTCACAGCTACCATGAGAAACGCTAAGGAAAGAACCCATTTTCTTCTGTTCTGCCCATTCTTTATCGTGAACTTTGACGATGATTCCCAATTTTGTAAGAACTGAGCAAATTTCTTGCGAAAATATGGTGGGGGTCATTAGATTCGCTGGAGTATCTGCCAATTGGCGTGCCCAGTTCTGTGCACTGGCTTTGATACTTCCAACTCGCCATTGTTCCCTTAAAATGATATCAATTTTTTAAACGATCACACACAATATGATAGATAAAACAAACATGTATACTACTTACTCTCCTTCTTGACCATACAATGATATTTTTGGAAATACTTTCTGCTTTTCTTTGTTTTTAAGACCTTGATAAAACCAAATCGATAGAGCAGCTCCTTCAGCTGCAGCTTCTGCATCCCCCAATGTCTCCAATGTTATGTCCTTAATTGCAACAGCGTCCAGTGCCCGACAACCAGCTATAATTTAAATATTTAATGCTGACTGATAATTCAATTACTTGCAATGCTGTTGAAATAATAAGAACACAAAAACGAAAAATCTATTTTTATAAAAAGCGAGTGTCTACCTGCTGCAGCTGTACGTATGTTTTCTTTTCCTTCGTGTACTTCCTCGAGTTGGTTAATGCCAAGGTTCTTTTTTCCAAGACCAACTACTGCAACTCCCACATATTCCTTTTCATCCAAACCCCAAAATACTCTAACAGAACCTTTGGGAATTTTCGGACCTGCTCTGTAGTGGCACAAGCATCAATTCATTATTTAATATTTTCGAAAGATTAAAATATACATTACTAAGGTAAGGTTGAGTTTCTGTGCAATTAAAGATTTTGTTAAAAAACCGTGCTGAGACACAAATTCACAAATTTATTTATTGCAATAATTCTAGGTATCATTCATAATGTATGCTATAGCATTCGCATTTTAAAATATAATCTAAAAATATACTATCATTTACATACATCCTAGAATAAATTTCTTTAAAATTATTCTAATTATTTCTCTAACAATTATTCTGATCGTTTCGTTAATTATTAATTATAATTACAGTTATTTTCTTCACAAGTATAACTACATAGTAATTCACAATATTCTCATTGTGTTCTTTGACCTATATAATGGAGACAATTGATTTGCACTAGCGGTAAATTGAAGATAGGCGCCACAATTATTTCCAGTATACCTATTAGTTAATAAAAGTCTTGTAACAATAAAGAATTATCTGTGAATTATAATACACAATGTAAAACTATTTTGTATTATACCAAAAATTCGATTCCTTTCTTTATATGTATACAGATGTAAGTATGTAAATTTGTCATGGGGTTTCATCATCTTGTAACACTGTTATTTGCTTAAATATTATAGTGTAAATAGTAAAGAAAGAATGAAAAATTGACATATTGATATTTTCAGACAATAAGTCCTGAAAACTGTTTGCTTAAAATATACCGATCAGAGCTAAGTAAAAGAACATTTAAATAGAAAATAGTAAATGTACATTCTCACTCTCTTCATGAATCATCAATATTAATTCCTATTATTTTTTTCAGACAACTACTGTTAAGTAATATTAAGGTATTTATTTATAAGTACTCTAATTTAGGAACAAAAAATTTGTTACTATTTCTCATTACAAATTCGATCTCTCCTTAGCTCTGATGCCAGTATACAGTGATTTTAATTATTTACGACAGTGATTTTAACGCTGATAGTAGGAACTCAATGTAATCCAAGCACATTCACTATTCCTTAGCTGAGGTGATATTCTTGGCACAAATTGAATTGAATACACATTGATTTGTTTGTAGAATTAACTTTTATGTTTCCACTATCTTGATTTTAATCTATTAGGCTACCTTGGCAAGACATTTACTATAAAGATCACATTGTACAATTAAAATTGTGTTCACGAGTCAGAATTTTGAATACATGAAACAATGTTATTAAAGTGTTATCTCTTTTATCAATATCATCACATGTGTCACAAAAATATTTTTTACAATATAGATTACCTGTGATAATAAAATTTTGTATTGTGCTTTGAATTTACAAGTTAACATACTGGCAACAAATTTCTCTATACAATAGAATACTAATCAATTTATATGATTTATTCTAAATGGATAACTATTAACATACAATGAAAACTATGGCCAATATGTGTACTAACACACAGATAGTATGCAATGATAAAGATCACATGAAACTAACATAAAACTTCTATAATAAGACTGTTTTATTACACTTGAATTGTGCTAAGTGTTAATGTGCGAGTACATCGATAGTCTGGTATACTAATTGTAACTAAATCAACATAGAATTATAAAAGGCCATGTTTCACACCATCAATTATCAGTGACACGTATGTATCATCGATACGAGCATATGTATCGTATATCGTTCAAATTCAGTCTATTGATAAAGTATATCTAAATCGAAAAATACTTTACTAAACGTATAATAAGTAACGGTACCCATAATTTTAATAGAAGTATAATTAGAAGATATTATTTGTGCTGCTTAACACTTTGAGTATTTTCTCAATTAAATCAGTGTCTAATAATTTACAATTTTTTTTCAGGTATTAGACACTATTCTTTTAATTTTCGGCTCATAACAAATTACTACAACATTTAGAATAAATATTCGCTTCCCGTTGTTATTATATGCCCGAGTAATTGAATCGAATGAATTTCATAATATACACATTAATTCTTTAATCATCTTCAAACCAGTTCCAATATTTTAATAATTCCTTGGGAATTTGCAGCTACCACAACATTAGACATTTGTCTCCAACAAACTGCAGACACAAATTCATTCAGATCCTCTTCTCTTCTTTCTTGCATCTCTAATATACTTCGAACAGCGTCGAATTTATAAGAGAATAATTGCTTGGTAAGTCCTTTGTAATATACATATAGTGCATTATTCTCGGATCCACACGCCACGTAATCACCGTCAGTGGCAAGACCAACGAAATTCTTCTCGTTCACATGGCCAAGGAATGATCGTAAACAATGCGGATTATTGATGTTCCACATTTTCAATTGCGAATCGGTGCTCGCAGATACTATCTCCTCTTTGTTAATAAATTTAACATACGAAACAGCTTTACGGTGGCCTTTGAATATGCACAATGCTTCCTTCATATTACGTAGATCGTAATAATGGACACAATGATCCGCCGATCCGAATGCCAAATGACACGAACTACGTGGATTAAACTTTACACAGCATACATTAGCTTTTGCTTCTAAGGAGGCGACAGAATGATCATGATTCAAGGACCATAATTTAACTCTCGCGTCGTCCGAACCCGATGCTATGAGTCTAGTATCGACATCATTGAAATCAACGGACCAGCATCTCTTTTCATGTTCTTGAAATGTTTTAGTTCTCTGACCCGTTGTAGCGTCCCAAACTGTCACAGTTCCTTCGTAATCGGACGATGCTAACATTCCCTTGTGGAAAGAATTCCACGAGACACACGATATTTTAGAGCTAGAAACCATTTCCACGCCAGGATAATGAATGTCCACTGTGTCCCTAATTACAGCGCTGTAATCGAATACTTTTATACGTTTTGTAACGCCAGCTATCGCGAAGAATTCATTGTCTTTATCGAATTCTATACTCGAGACAATAGTCGAATTATTGAAGATGTCTGATGAATAGTTCAAAGTGGCCAATGAACGTAACGTGTTGTATTTGGAAAATTTAACAAGATTTTCTCTGAAAACATCCAATCCTGAATTCGTGCCATGCCATACATCGTTCTGCGCTTGAGGTTTATGCCCAAGAAGCAGCTCTTTAGCACGGGAGTCAAAGTAACATTGCACAAAATCATCGAAATGAGCATGCATTCTTTTTCTACGTACAGCCAAAGTCGAACCAGCCGTGTATTCACTTTGCTTCTGACTTCCCATAGGATTAGAAAACGTCTCGTTTACTGCCGTAATCGCCTTTTCATTTGGCTTGACCATATTTGAATCTATTATATCTATAAGTCCAATCATCTCTCTTCTAATAGCTGACACCTGAGCTGTGTCGTTTTCACTTGATTTCTTCAAGTCTTCGATTCTAGGACACTTACTTTGAACATTCCTTAAGATATTCTCGACTTCCTCCATATCTCTTTTAATTAATACTATCTCCTTTTGTAATTGATTCTTTTGTTCCTCCTTTTGTTGCAATAAGTGCTTCAAAAATTCATGCAGCAATTTGTTTTGCGCCGCGCATGTTTCTGCTTCAAGCAAATGTTTTCTTTGCGTTAATACCTCCAACATTACATTTACATCCGGTAATGTTAAATTAGCGCTTTCTGCAGTCACAATATCTTTTAATCCATCGTACAGAGGGATAGTCTTATATTTTGATATTAGTTCGTGTAACAAAAAGTTTGGGAAAATATCTTGTTGCGTTAACGTGTAACTACATTTCGGACAGTGGCCATTCGCTTCCAATGATTTAACTATACAACGATAACAAAATGTATGACCGCAACGTGTGATATGAGCTTCGTCGATTACCTCAAAACAAATAGGACACAGATAATCGTTATTTTTATCTTCAAGTGCACCGCTAATCCTATGGAGAACATTCGTCGAATAATGTGGTTTACTTGTTCTACTACTACATTCACCTGTTCCCCCGCTACTTCCAGCAGCATTATCATTCCCCAAGTTGCTATCACTGATAGCTGACATTATCTTTAACTAAATAATATCCTTTGATACACGTGTAAATTCTAAAGAACTTTCTCCAATTTCATATTACTCAAAGCTTCTCTCTACCTCCTAATAATAGTATTCTACCAACTAAAAATCAATGTAGAGAAATTACGTTCTGAATAATACACTTTTAAACGTTTTTCTTTTTTTTATGTATATAACAAAATATGCGATCTGGCAACTCCTTCTGTGCAGCGAGTTTTTGCTTCATATCATGTGTATAATACCATCTCTCAGTCTAGTCACTCCTGAAACAATGAAAATAATGCCAGTGAGCTCACCATGGGACACAATTTTCGCTCGAATTCAAAAGTTTAGTGAACAAAACTAAAGATTTTATGAAGTTTTTTTTAAAAACAAAACAAAGGAAAAGCAATTCTGAATATTAAATGTAAAGCTCAGGCAGCATTATGACAATTGTTTCAGGCTGAAACTATCAATAAAACATTTAAATATCATTAATGTTAATTCACATAATCAAGAAACTCAAAGTACAAAAATAACATGTATGAAACTGTACTTTGTACTACAATTTAAGCTTATCAGATAATTTCATGTCGTGTTAGTTGTGTACAATTGGTTTATCTCCTGAGTTAATAAGATATTCTACTTGACATGAGAAACATACAGTTTATCATTCACTATATGATACTTGTACCTGAATGTGCAGACCCATCTATGTTTTGGTGTCACACATTGTATGAAAAAAAAAAAGGTAATGTTTCACACGAACAGATAATGCAAAAGACATGATTACTATACAAGATATGTTATAAGGTATAAAAACAGATTACATAGGACTTACAACAAGATATTCTTTTGTAGTTTTCCATTAACTAGTTCATCATATTTGGCTGCTGTGGGAGTCAATGAGACCTTGCTCTCATCTTCTGATTCATATACACCCAGTACCAAACCTTTCTGTTAAGAAATAAAACATCCAGAATAAATATCTAACACGCACAACTTTTCTTAACGCATTGCACATAGATCATGAGACATATTGTTTTAACGTTCCATTTTATCTACATTGTGATGATACGTTATATTAAAGTAACTCATTCTAGTAGTTATATCATTATTAAAACCAAATTCTATAATATCTACAGTTTGACAAAGTTCCATAAGCAATGCATTCAATCTGTTACAGTTCGAAGCCTGTTAATACAACTACAAATTGAAAAAGAAATTGTTATACTATGTTATTCCTGTTGTCTTACTGATTCATGATTGTAATTCGCCAATTGATATGGAAAAGCTACTATTAGATTCTTTGCAATTAACATTTTACCTACTCAGGTATATTTAATAGGCTTTTTTAGAATTAACAATTAATAACCAAGGGTTTCATTTCCAAAGGTAAATTATACTCGTGAACCAATAAAGCAGCCTGAGTATCATAATGTAACAATTTCTTTTTCAACACTTATGTGAAGGAAAGTTAATAGGTTTCTTGTCGGTATACACTGACATAAAAAATCCTGTTAACAGGCTTCCGGGTGAAAAATATTAACTATCAGTTGTAAAATATTTATTAAATAACCTATGCTAGATGAAATGTTCAGTATGTTACAATGTACATATTCGAACTATAGCCTCCCGAGAACGGTTACATGGTTTTTTTCAGAAATACTACATGAAGGAACAAAACTACAGAGCATTATTGATATCAGTCGTAAGAATTTATTCGAAATTTGCACATCACGATAAAGCGTCCCGTCCCCTTTCCCTTCCGACAATTTTCGCGAGAGACTAAGACGAAAATTCTCGTCCCGCTGATTCGTTGCGTGAAGGAAAAATGAAATGTTTTTTCGATTAAGAAACACAAAGAAATTAATTTTCGAGAAGTCGAACGAATAATATTTTGTTTAATTACCTTCATGGTCGAGACACAGGAGAAGAAACGTAACTGCGAATATCCGTACTGTAGACCCTTACCCCTGATAAGAGACAATGCCATAATTTGTTCAAGAGAGCATTAGGTGGGATATATATATAGCGTATATCTATATAGTACGTACGACTGTGACGTTACGTGTATGTATGTACAGTAGACCGTGCGCATGTGTGTCCCTAAAAAAATACGATATCTATACAACTTGGTCACGAATGTTGTAGATCCGCGACTCTAGTACCACGATTTATTTATTTTTGCATTGCCATCTGGTGAGAATTTTCAAGAATTACAAACCGACTTCATATTTGAACCGATAAAATCAGCATAACATCAGGATTACATACTTGGAACAATTACACACACGGGCGTGGGAAAAATCATTAATCTACGTACATCAATAGTAATAGTTTACATTTCCATTTATGTTTCAGTATCTTATATATGAACCGAGTATAGGTCAATAAACATTAATTTCGATTTATATTCTATTAAGAAATATAGTTTTGTACTCTTTTTTTCTTTGTCAGATTGTACATATTTATGCATTTATAGTATACAGTAAACAATTAATGATATAAAATAAGAGGAATGTAAAGTTGAGTAATTTTTAATAAAATTTTAAACAATCAACAATGGAAATAAAGGGGGATAGTAGAAAATGGTTAAATTTAAAAAAGTTATAAAAAAAACGGATGAAGATGAAAGTGAATAGAGCAACAAAGTGGAAGTTGTTAACTTTAAATAATTATAACTTCTAAATAAATGCATGAAATGCAAGAATTCGAAGGCTATTTTGTAGATACCTACATTAATACATATTATGTATATTGCTTTATGTAGCTGTTAATCACTACTTTCTGACATATGATAAAAATGCAAAAACTTTTACCTAGAAAATAGCATTCATAGTTTTACATTTCATGCATTTGTTTAGATGTTATAATTATTTAAAGTCAACAATTTCGACTTTGTTGTTCTATGCATATTTCACCATCTTCTTATAACTTTTCCAACGTATTTTGGGTAAATAATTATATTTTCCTAATTCTTTGAAACTTATAGAATAATGTTCCATTAATAACTTAGGATTCTTCGTGTGTGTTCTTGTTTTGTAAATTTTGTGTACATACATAGATATCCATGAACTGCTAATTAAACTTAAATAACTTGATATGTTTTACTTGGATAACGTATATACAATCATAATGCTTAATATACATTGAACGTTTATTTTAAATTATTCCATTATAGTTAGTTATTTGTTGAGAAACTCCGCCATAGGATCATCTTCGCGTTGCCGCTTCATTTGGAAGGCTTCGATTTCCTCTGCTGTTGGTTCCTGTATCTCATACATACTATTATAAGGACGCTTTCTTTCGTCTATCCCCAATAGTCTTTCTGCTTTTTTCTGAGTTTCCTCTTCTTTTTGTAATGCTTGTTGCAACTTATCTTGCTCATCTTTCTTAGACTTTTTCTCTCTATTTCTGCGCTTTTCCTTCTGTTTTCGCTTTTTATCTTTTCTCTTCGATGATTTCGATTGCTTTATTATTTTTGATTTCCTTTCTTCTTCGTCGGACGAACTATCACTGCTCGATGATTTTTCATCAGGAGAATCTTCTTTTTCATTATCCAAAGTTTCTTCTTCCGTGATATTTTTACTTTCTATGATCGTTGCTTCCGATATCCTTTTACCTGCTTCACCTGTACAGTAGGAGTTCTTGATAAATGAATAACAACATTTGTATCCCCATTTACCACCATGCCAATAAGATCCCCAAACGGATGTATGATTATTTGGGAACACATCTTCTTCATACTTCGAACGAATCACCTGTCTATCCTGTCCTTTGATGATCTGTAAATTTACACAGATTATAAAGATATTTAGACTAGAGTGTACTGTTGGCGAACGAGACATAGCGAGGTCATAAAATAGCAGAAGAATTATAATTATTTAACAACATTATCTTCTGGAGAAGCTAAAACAAAATAATATACACGCTTTTCGCGTCCTATGGAAATTAATAAACAAGACCCGTTTGTTTAAGGTCTACTTTACAATCATACTACATCATTTCGAACGACCGTATTTCCTGTTATTTACATTAGTACATTTACATACCTTTCCATATCTAGAATATTCTACATACTGTTCTGTTTGTGCTAATAACAGAGAAGATGGCAGAGCATCAAGGTGCTCTTCACCACCATATGTATTAATTATACTGTCACGAGCTTTGTCCTTCAATTCGTCACGCTTCTTATCATATTCCTGCTTAAGCAATTCCAACTTCGTAGGTTCAGCAAGTAAATGAACGTCAACACCTCTTTCATGGGCCTCCCACGCAAACAATTGAGCATTTGCATGACATTGTGTATCTCCAGAAAAGCGTGCGAAGTTCTCGCCTTTGTAATCCACTCTGAAATGAAATAATTGCGATGTAGATAATTCTTTCATTAGGAGAAATGTTTAAAAATGTCATAAAATTTATGCAACGAGTATGCATATGAGATGCATACTCTCTCTCTGTGCCTGCATAAGGATTGTCACGCATAGATCTTGTTTTAGGATCATAATACGCAGAGTTTGGATCCAAATTTCTCAGATATTTTGCTGTGTCTTCTCTAATTCTCAAATTTCTAACAGTAATACGTTGTTTGGAATCTACTTTCGTGCCTGGCATATCAACTTCATCTACATATTTGTCTTCATCTTTATCTGAATCCTGTTCATCATTCTCTTCTGCATTTAACTTGTCCGCACGCATTTGCCTTTTGGCTTCCTCGATCTTTTGGTACTCTTCAACAATAGCCCTGTGTTCTGAAGGATCATAACCAGCCCACCTATGATAAATAAATAAATATAGTTATTACATATAAAAACTAAAATTCATGTTAATATAAAAAAAAAATATTCATATTACCTATCTCTTTTACCATCATAATCCATGGATAATTCAGGCTGACTGAATTCATCTGGCGCAATGTTTGCATTTGTAAATTGTGCTCCTATTTTACGTGGACGTTCCATGCACTCCTTTCTTTTGTGGGTCATGGCACCACAGTTCTCACAGGCTCCTTTACGAAATTTTGTTATTACTTTAGATGTATCTACACCACGCTTATACCATTCATCTATACCACTGAACTGTTTCTGTTTCTCAGGTTGTGGTCTTTGATGTTTCAAAGTAGGACCCTAAAAATATTTCTATGTATGAGTTTATTGTTCCTGTGTTTTGATTTCAAAAATATATGGACAATATTCATGATGAATCAAATATATGTTAGTATCCTTAGATTGTTTAACGAAGACTATGGACTGAAGATATATTATAATGACGAATGACTAATAGGCAAAAAAGGAAGAATTAGTTAACAGCCATTAAAAGAATCTTCGAAATGTAATCACTCTTCTATATAATCTTATTACTAGTCCCAAATGGTCTGGCTATAGCAAGGTAATATTGTATTAAGGTCTGCAGAAAAATATAAAACTGTTAATAGAACAACTGAATACCTGTGCTCCAAAATACCATGGTGTAGCACTGATATATTGTGGAATATGTGGATTAATATCTTTTCCCTCTTCATCTACTGCAGCTGGTGCTGTACCAGCTTTCCTTGCCTCTTCTAATTCTTTTGCCTTTCGCCAGTCCTCTCTACTCTTTTTTCTTGGCTCATCCTCAAAATTACTTGTATTCTGGATAATTTGTGAAACAGGTACGTTGGCTAATGTGTTAGCCATTTTTATCGTACAGTTTATCAATTATAAAAATGTTTAAACTTAATTTTTATGCCAGTTTTTCTAGTTGACATTTCATGAAAGACCATGTATTGGTTACTAATTTAACCTACGAAGATAACAAAACATGATTAAGGGAAGTTTACAAAAGTGAAATTGTATTATGCGATCTTTTCATGGGGCCCATGGCATCTGTGGAAATCACTTGCGACTTTACGTTTGCAATTATTAAAACTCAATTTCTGTATCTTAAACTTTAAGACTGTAAAATCAATTAAATACAAATAATCTAGGATAAAGTAACATATCTACGACATCTAGAGTGATCTAGAGTCCCTCTAATCTGATTAAACGGTCTCTAACGACACTGGCTTATAGCGTCATCTGTGGCAAAATCTTAATACTGGTAGATAAACTGTATTGAGCTACCGACAGGCGTATCTGTAAAACGACATTAAAATGACCCATCTACCAAAGATATATTGCCTATGATTCTGTTGTGTTTGCTACGCAAGCTTTTATCTACGCGGTTTTTTAATAACGTAAAATGATTTCTGCATTTGTTAATGCACATACTGTAAGAAATGTCACCAACAGATTTCCGAGATTTTTCTGTCGCAGTAAAAGTACCGAAGCATGTATTTCATATGAAGAAACAACGAACCTCACAACCAATTCAGACTTGGTAATAATTCGTTTGAAACACTATTATTATAAATTAATTATATTAATTTTACATAATTGGTTCACAGCCAACACTTTCTGAAAATCCGTACAAAAAAGAGAAAAGACTATGTATTTTGTGTAAATTAAAAATAGAACCAGATTATAAGAATGCACGTCTATTATCTCAATTTCAAAGCAGTTATACAGGCAGAATTTATGGTAAACACATAACTGGACTATGCGATCGTAAACAAAAAAGGGTAGAAGAAGAAATTGTGAAAGCACAAAATGCTGGTATACATTATGTTATTTCTCATTATATGTGTTTTAATTGTTCATTTAGTCTTAATTTTATGTTATTCCAGGCTTAATGGGATATATGACAAAAGAACCAAAGTATGTTAATGATCCAAAGCTATTTAATCCAGCTTTCCCATTTAAACCACATCCTTATTAAATGTAAAATACCTAATAATAAAGTTGTAACTTTAATTCTTTCATATCTGCTTAGTGATTTTATTGAAAACTATATGAATATAAATAAATTTAGTAATGTTGTAATATATCTGAAACGATTTTCTTCTCTTCAATGTCTGAGGTAATTAATAGCAGAATGCATCATCGTCAATGGAAAAATGAACTATATCAGGATCTATACCAAGTGAAGATAAGATTTGTGTTATTGTCACTGATTGTTGTTTCCTTTCTTCCAAATCATTCTGGTAATCTTCAATAGCAGTTTGGCAAACTTCTGTCCACTTGTTTATGGCACTTTCTAGGTCTTCAGCTTTGTTCTTTAAACAGATACATCTTACTTAATTACTGATTAATCAAAATGCAATTTATATGTAATACTTAAATTGATACTTTTATGCCTTTAGAATATACATTCAATGAGACTGCACCTTTTGCAATGATTACGCAAGTGTTTAATTTTGTTTCTAATTTAATAAATTTCAATGATTCCAATTTTTGTAAAATTGTTTATGAAAATAGATATTTGCAACACGTCTGAAGTCTGCCAATCTTTAACCTTTGTTTTACCTTTTTCTTATATAACAATGTTGTTTTTAAATTGTTAATAGTTTTCTGCTTTTCTTGTATTCTCTTCTTTAATGATTCTAAATCGTCGCGACATAATTGTTTATTTTGCTCAATGTCTGGTAGTTTTTCAGATTTTTCATCACTTAACCGTAATTTTTTAACAGGAGGCGTTTGAAAAAGCGATCTTTTTGACAAAGAAACCCTCCTGTTCCATAACCATAGAACGAAAAGAAATGTATGTTGTTACAAAGAATTTTATGAATATAATACTCAATATTGTTACTTACAATGATGATTCAGATGTATTCGATTTTGGAGTATTTGTATTACTTTCAGTATTTTTATTTCGAGGGGTATTAAACGGAGAATGAAACGGTTTATTTACACCCTTACTGTTTCTGTACGGTTTGGCGCTCATATTTCTGAAATAATACAAGGTTAATAAATAAAATGTTTATTCTATTCAAATAAATTATGTGTTTATATTAAAAATTTATATTTTATATTAAGTTTTACATTAAAATTTCTTAATTCAAATGAATTTTTTAAAAACGAAATAATATGTTTATATTTTATATTATATCCTCTGTTATGAGTAAGGCATTTCCTGGCATTTCCATGATCTATTATGTCCTCTTTCTATGTATACTCAATTTTTATATAACATTATATATATTAAAAAACGTAAAATTATAGCATATATTTAGTAACTATTCATATGTACTCAAGTAACGTCGATGATGTATTACTAACAACTTGAACTTCAGAATAAATGGAACAAATATGCATAATTAATTTTAAAGATTTAACATCAGGTTCTCATCTAACAGAAACTGCACATCCAGTGGTTCGTTGTTGTACTCAGGTCAACTCAGGTGTACGTTAACCTCTAAACACTAGTGACGCCGATTGACCATAATTGTTGTAGTACACAAAAAGTATTATTAATTATCCTGTAAATATTACACACTCGATTTTTCTATTGCATTTGTAATTTGTTCCGTTAGTTTCACACTATTATACTCCTCCTACTAATTTGACAATAATAGAACTTTTTTTCTTGATCATTATACACTATATTTTATATAAAATTATTTCTGTGGTTTTAGTGACAATGGATATTAGACCGAATAATACTATCTATATTAATAACCTAAATGAGAAAATAAAAAAAGATGAACTCAAAAAATCTTTGTACGCAATTTTTTCTCAATTTGGCCAAATATTAGATATTGTAGCATTAAAAACATTAAAAATGCGTGGGCAAGCATTCGTCATTTTTAAAGAAATTGCTAGTGCTACAAATGCCTTGAGATCAATGCAAGGATTTCCATTTTATGACAAACCCATGGTATGTATTAATAGAATATTAATTTATTAAAATAACAATGGATATCATTAGTATGATTGCTTGTATTTTAGAGGATACAGTATGCAAAGACTGATAGTGATATAATTGCAAAAATGAAAGGCACGTACGCAGAACGACCTAAGAAACCAAAGCGTGTTGTTCCTGCTGCAGATGAAGAAGCCAAACGTGCTAAGAAGAGAGCTAAGGAACAGGCAAAACACTCTCAACAAATTGGTTATCATGCTGGTGTACCCCAACACCCAGGTTTAATCAATACTGCTGTACCAGAACAACCACCAAATCAAATTCTATTTCTTACAAATCTGCCAGATGAAACTAGTGAAATGATGTTGTCCATGCTCTTTAATCAGTTTCCTGGTTTCAAAGAAGTACGCTTAGTACCAAATAGACATGATATTGCATTTGTTGAATTTGAGAATGAAGTACAGTCAGGAGCTGCAAAAGATGCTCTTCAAGGATTCAAAATCACACCTTCTCATGCAATGAAGATATCTTTTGCAAAGAAATAAATTAATTTCATAGTTAATATGAAAATGTTATCAAGGAATGAAGAAACGCGTGTGTGTTGTAACAGATCTATTTAGAAATGTATGCAAATACAGTCAAGAGTAATTAATCTTGAATGAAGATTCAGGAACATAAATCTGAAGCATACACCATTACATTCAAGAACAATATATGTACAAAATTTTATGTAATGTACACATACTCGCAAAAGTACACACTGTAAATAGGAATTAAAAGATACATAACATTTTTCAGACATACATCAATTGCATGAGTCTATTTTTTACTTGATTATATAAGAATTAGATATAAAAAGTACAAAAGATTCTATTGTAAAATGGAAATTTATAATGATATTTTATCATTCGTATAAGATATAAAGAGATACCATCTTAAAAAATGTTTATTTATTACATTGCATTAACACTATATAGTTAAAATATTTACACATTCTTTGTATTTTCTGCATATTAATATAAAAGTATTGAAACATACTACAAATCATTCATTATATGACGATTAAATGCATGGTAACAATTCATAAATGAAAAGAATGTTCGATTCTTACTTAAACATACATTTCATTAACCTTTCATGAAGAAACAATTGAATTATTAACAGTTATTTTTTAGATGTTCGTTATTCATTATTTTATACAAAAAAGAAATCTCCTAACGACAAGTAAACTCTCTTCTAAATGTTATTGGTCAAAAGTGAAAATGTGAAATTAATTCAATATGTCTGCTATTACAGTTTTGTACAACTTTCTGGAGAGTTACACTTTTAGTTTTGTTTTCAAAGGATGAAATAAAATAAAGTTTGAATCGTATTTTATTGAACTACATATGAAAAATAGAAAGAATTTTTAAGTAGCCTATTTCTTATGAAAAGAGAAATAATGAAGAATATTATTTAATTAACAAACCGGTAGAAAATGTTAAGTAATTTGATGTAATTTTTTTACAAATGGTAAAAGTGACTTTACTGTAATTGCAAATATTTACATAAAAATAACTACTCCTTATTTGAAAAGATATGTACATCCGGCTATTCGATGCGTAAACTTTCAAGTTTTCGGTGAAGTTGAGATTAGGTAATCCAAACGATCAATATAAATCTCATTCGTTTTTTTTAATCGTAATATCGCTTAGTTATTGATAATAATTAGAATTTTGTTTTTTATACGTAGCACAATTAATTATATCAATTTACTGTAATTGCGATTTTAAGTAGAGAAAACGATCCGACCGTATTCTAGATATTTCATATGCAACAACGAACATCTTAGCGGATAAAAAAATGTGCTATTTCATGTACGAATTTGATCTTCTACCATCATATTTTAATTCCATCTTAAACTTCATCTTAGTATTCCCACTCCGAAACAGTGCTAAAAATGAAACGATCCAGCACATTTGCATGTCGTCATACGTGCTTCTCCGCCCCCCCCCCGCCCCAAACTGACAACTCGTCAATCCACTAAAAATTTGAGTCACTACTTAAAATCATCTTCCAAATATTTTCAAATATAAAAAATGTTTGGGGAACGTTGTATTATCAGGAATTATATCATATTTTATCACTGATAATTCTTCTAACGAACTTATTCTACGTGGCGTCATGACATTTTGGCGGGAATCAGTTGGCGCGGTACACAGGAAGTAGGAGTGGGACTCTGGGGCGGCACGCGAATCAGAGTACAGTGCATCGTCTCTGTCGAAGTAGTCGCGTCTCACCATTCCTTGGGTTACGGGTTGCTTGAGGAGCATAGCTTCGAACGCGCGGGATAATATTAAAGGAGACGTTGAAACGAGAAAAGTACATGGTTGCTGATATTCAGAAGGAAATACAGGAAATTCTGCTAGAATACAAGAGAGGCGTATAAGTCTGGTTCCGTCACGGCACCGCGTTCACCCCGACCGAAGCCTTTGTCTCCGTATAGGTACACGAGAAATTTGAGGTGAGTGTCTGTTAGCGTCTTTTTCTCCTGTAAATATGTTCCACGTATTCATTCAGTATAGTCCTCACTACAATATAAAGTCCAATATTTTACGCATGTTATTTTCAGTGATTTTTTCATAGATCTTTCGGTTCGAACCAAACCTTACTTGCAGAGATATTTATTCGTTTACTCATAAGACGCCAAAGGACGTCAAGCTGATGGACGCTAACCACAGCTTTGGCGTTGCCATGATTTGTCGATCATGGCGTCTTTAACAGCTAACCGACGCTTTTACGTTTCATTTTAATAGTATCGCTAGTCCAATTATCATGTTGGTTGTAAAATAGTGTAACACATACGTATCGATTGATATTACTGAATACTTTTACTTGTATTTGTACAAAAATAAGGAAAACGTACAGGGTAGGTAGTTAATATTTTTGAAAATGGCGGGCGCGGAAATTTCGGAAAACATTATTTTATTGTTGTAAATGTTTGTTTGATAAAAGGTAAATCCATTCTTTTGTTTCTATGTTTGAACATTACTTCACCGATTGCTACAATCATTTCTGCATAATTATTGCGTTCGATCGACAATTAGATAGCCGGTCATAACCCCTCGCTCAACAATATTCAATACAAACGCATATATTAGGCGCGTAATTTGTTGTATATTATAAACGTAATTAATATTTTCAGTGTCTTTTTTTCTACAAATTGTGAGATGCCGCACTTGTTTTTTTTAGAGATGAAAAGTTATTCCCGAGAATTGGAATTAAATGGCTTTTATGCTGTGGTTGTAAAATCGATAACCATACGATATTATCTATTTCTACCGATGCCTACATATTTTTTTGTAGTTTGAAAATGTTATTACATTATTTTCACGTTCGTGTTACGTAGTTCTTTTCGCAAATGAATAATTTTTAATAAATTACCTATTCATAGTTAATGCTGTATTCTAAACTGTTTTATGTCACGTAATATTTTCATTATTAAAAGAAAATTTCTTTTTTTTGCAGTGATATAATTCATTAAAAATGTCAGACGATAATTCATCTATTGTTGAGGAACAAAAAAAGAAGCGAGGGAGGCCATCAAAGGCAGATAAAATTGCAGCTAGAGAGTCTAAAAAAAGAGGAAGACCAGCTATGGACAAAAATAATGCAGTACGCGCTGCAAAATCTGATAATGAAGATGATACATCTACTCCTGTCAAAAAGGCTAGGGGAAGACCAAAGGGTTCTCACAAAAAGAAGGTATTTAGTAATTATGTTTTTATTGTATATCATTATTTCTCGAGTTAATATGCTGTTAAAAGTACAATATTTTGTACTTTTTAGCCGGGAGCCCAGAGAGCCCCTTCAGGTAAAGGTCGTGGTAGACCAAAAAAGAAAGAAGAGAAAGCAGAAAGCACTGGTGAGGAAGAAGATGATCAGGAGGAGGAAGAAGAAGAAGAAGAGGAGAATTGAATATAAGAAAACAACTTTAATGTATCAGACTTATGCTTTGAAACTTTTTTAAAAAACTGATAAATTTCAAGTGTTTATGTTTGCTTTTTATGTCATAATCTGCAGATTGAAATAGTAAGACAGTCAATGTATTCTTCTTGAAACTGCTCAAGTTTGAAAGAAATTGTAAAAAAGAACTATAATTTATGACAATTATATCCTTGAAAAAGGAATGATATGCACATAGAACTTGCATTAAGAATATGTAAAGTATTTCTTTCATTATTTGTCTTTGTTTATTATTATTTTAAGGTTCGAAAAGAGTGTAAGTATTTACCATTTAGACCTCTTACATTGACTTTAAATTTATAAAGGAACAAACTGTTTCTGTTGTGTGACATAAAATATATTTATTACCTTCTTTATATGCATATTATAATTTGTGAAAGCTAAAATCATTGAACAGACTTAATACTATAAAATTTAAAACGAAAAAAATGATATACTTCGAGCATCTATCATGTGCAAGGAATATTCTCTTTCAATTAATCTTGGATATGTGAACATTAGCATTGTTCTTGAGGCAAGCATATGTGTGAATGTCAAATTTGTATTAAAGTAAATAAACTTGTAGGGTGACACTCTTAATTCCTGTATTATATACATATATTCTCTTTTTTTATTATACATTTCATATCCTAGGTAAAATTGTTATAAGTAATTGTGTTTTTTGTAGCTACATTACTACAAAAAGATATTTTATTTGAATCATAAAATTTGTGATTGAAATTGTTTAACTACGTAATTTTAGTCTATTCTTAAACAATAAATAATCCTTCATGATTAGAGTACATTAATTTTACTACAAAATTTGTATTCGTCATGGAACGAGAGACCAAAAAGGTATACTTACTGTTTTTGTATCTCATGTATATCACCTAATTGTTTTATTATTAGTAAAGAATCTCTCTAGTGTTTAATATAGCTAAAGAGTTTTATTATATATACATTATATTCCGAATGAAGTTGAATGAAATCTTTACAGGAAAGGTATGAAAAAAAATATACATAAATAATGTTTTAGTATATAGCAAAAGTTTTACATTTATAAAAAAAACTGTTAGAAACAGTGTACAATGAACACTAATGATAAAATAAACTTTCAGTCCTTTCTGTTTCTTTACATTTGTCTATTATAGAATCGTTTTGTTAAATATATATCTATTTTATGGCTGCCACGTCAAAGAAAAATTAGTAAATTCTATTACTCCTACATAATTTGATTGTTAAAAGTTTACATTCTAATGTTCAGACATGATTTGAAAAATCTTGTTTTAGTTCAAACTTGTGAATCTTGAACTTTGTCCTGAATTTGCAATGAACACACGACAGGACATATGTATATGCGTACTATATATACATATACACACACGCCTGTTCAAACATTAAGTAAATGTATAAATCTAATAAATACTGTAAGTTTTAATCTATGTCAAATTGTAGACAGTACAAAGATTTTGAAGAGCTACTTCTGTCTTTATCAATGATTTCCAAAGAGTTCAGCATTTTCTTCAGTATCCATAGACTGATATCCTTGCTGTAAAATATATTACCTATACTAATGATATTCAAATATTATTTAATTTAAAAATAATATCTATTAAACGTACACGTCTTTGGTGATTATTATAACATTCTTCCAACAATTCAGTTTCCCAGTCATCTTCTTCTTCTTCACCGGGATCAAAATTGTACATTGGCATAAGTCTGTGCCTTAAGCGCTCTAACTTTCTTTTTCTTGATATAATTATCACCTTTAAAAGTACAGTATGTTATTAAAAGTGCACGTCATATTAAACACAATGAGAGTATAGAAGAGTTGATTAACAGGAAACTTAATTTTTCTTTAAAAAAAGATATTATGAACTTATATAACTTTAATATTGGAATACAAACTGACCAACAAACACAGACTATACTACCAAAACTGTTAAAATACCTAAGGTAGAAATATTTATCCAAGTATTATAATCTGATTGTTACTTTTACTTTATGCTTTTTGTTTCTGTAAATGAAAGTCAGAGAAAGATTATGGTTTAAGTACAAAAGTGATATCGCTACCCATACCACAGCTGACAATACAATAACAAAGACCACTACACCGAGTGGTACAAAAATGTATTCTATTCCTTCTGGTGGGCCAAATTCGTCAAAAGCTTCTGTTGTTGTAGACACGTATATACTGGTGCTTGAAGTTTCAAAGGAAACTACAGTGTTATTAGGCAATGATGTTGTAGCTTTAGAAACATTCCATAATTGTTGATTATTTCCTACATCTTCGGTAGAATACAAGTATATTTCAGATGGTTCATCAGAAATGTTATTCTCAGCAGTGGTCGTATAATTTCTGACGTTGTCAAGTAACATCGTCGATGTTACAGCGTTCGTGACGTTTGTTATATTCATATCGTTCATCATGTTTAATTAGAAAACTGCGTTCAGTTATGGAAAAAACATAATGTTAAAAACTGGGACACTTGATTTGTCGATATTATACATTATTTATGCTATAGAAATCTTCGGAAATGATATGGTGTGACGTTCTTGTCTCTTGTTTACCTTGATTTACCAAAATCAATGAACATAATGTGCAAAAAGCATAATGCTAAATGCTCTGTTACTGGTACATTAATAACAATTGATGCATCAATAGATCATTGTAACACTGTTTTTCGTACATGCACAGTATGCTATTTAGTCGTATCAGTTTACCAGGTATCTGTAATTGTAAAATAGAAATCGAGCGCGAGGGTGATCACGTTTGCTGATTTTGGTTCCTGAACGAATAGATAACTATTCGCATCTTGATAAATTTCCATGCTATGCTATCCATGCTATCAATGGGAAAATTCAATACGAATTTCACATCGTTGAGAATGTATAATTATTTTACTTTTGAGCATTTCCTTTCAAGACTTTTCCGATTCTCGTTCACCCGGTTAAGGATTGTCAGTCGTTTACAACATGAACACTAAATATTTGACAAAATTGGTAATTACATGTTTTCATCTCTTGATTTACGAATCAATAAAACAAATTATTCTTTTGATTAATTGTTGAGCGAAGTAGACCATGATTCGTTTCGGGGAACAGCATTCATTCTTCACACAAAGAGAACGCGGATAATGCCAGATAATGCCATAATGCTTTCCATTTCTTGTCCAATGTAATATTTCATTTCTTCAACATTGCAATGAAACTCTCCACGCATGCACTCTACGCGAAATACAAGTAACACGACAGTCGCACTACTGTTCAGGCACTGTTCCTTGACCAAACTGACTCTCTATCGATATCTTATCGAGATATTTTTTCGGTTGTATCGATCTTAACGTCCTTCTTTACAAAATGCGATAAAATAAGTTGTAAATCATTTAAATTCAAATGATTAAATTATGTTTTAGTATATACAGCGTGATATGACAGTCATGAAACATGAAACGGAAAAGTATATACTTTTTCACTTAACTACAAGACAATTTATTCTAAATGCATCGTTAATAGACATTTTATTAATGTTAATTTTTACATGTTCTTGTTTTATTCGTTTTTATATCTTGCCTTACATTTGTATATTTGTAACAGAAAAATTCAGAATAGATGAAGTTTCATAAATCAATCATAAGTTTCTAGCGGCTGTGAACCAGTAATTACAAGAACATTGTTAAAATCAGATTTATTTGCAACAGTTGACACTGTATCTCGTCATGCGTACCCCGGTTAGTTCACTTTGCATAGCTCTTACACCGTTATACGGATAGCTTTCGTTTAGCTGAAGCACTCAATTTGTAGCTGAAAGTACGTAGATTAATCCACTATTATTGATAATAACAATAAACGACCAGAACACTGTTAAAATCGCATTTAATCGCGGAATACCACTATTTTTTCGACCGGTGGCGCCACCCGTGGCGAAACGCTTAAACTCCTAGCCAAATAATTGGCTAGTAGTTTCAGCGATTCGCCATGGATGGCGCCACCGGTCAAAAAAATAGTGGTATTCCGCGATTAAATGCGATTTTAACAGTGTTCTGGTCGTTTATTGTTATTTTCAATGACAGGAGATTAATCTACGTTCTTTCAGCTTCAAACTGAATGCTTGATCAAGGTGTAACTTGTCCATAGAACGATGGAAGAGCTTTTTAAAGTGAACTAAACGGGGTACGCATGCCGAGATACAGTGTCAACCGTTGCAAATAAAGTGCGATTTTAACAGTGTTCTGATGGTTTATTGTTATTGCCACTGACAGGAGATTAATCTACGTTCTTTCAGCTACAAGTTGAGTGCTTGGTCAAGACGAATCGGCGGTTACAGGGTACTAATCTACATTCTTTAAACTTCGAATGTAGTGCATGACGAAGAAAAGTGTTGCCTGTTTAGTGGTTATGTACTTGCCGCAGGTTTCGATCGGATTTACACTGCTAAACGAGCATCAGTTTTCCTTGTCATGGATTACATTCGAAGTTTAAAGAACGCAGATTAGTACTCTCTGGCAGGTGGGAACCAGTAATTACAAGAACATTGTTAAAATCTCAAATGTTTGCAGAGGTTGACACTCTATCTCGCGATGCGTACCCCGTTTAGTTCACTTTGGACAAGTCATACAACGTTATCCTGACAACTTTCGTCTTGACCAAGCATTCGATTTGTAGCTTAAAGAACGTAGATTAATCCCCTGTCATTAAGAATAACAATAAACGACCAGAACACTGTTAAAATCCCATTTAAACGCGGAGTACCACGATTTCTTTGACCGGTGGCGCCACCCGCGGCAATTCGCTCAAACTGCTAGCCAAATAATACCGACAGGTGAGTGAACATTCCTAGTGATGGAAAAATGCGAATATCTCAGTAATTAAGCGCTTAAAATGAACGTCATTAGTCTCAAATTGTCCCTCCGGACTTAATGCATGGACCCAATAGTGCAGAACCCCTGAATTAGTAAAATTAGTTATGCCTGTATTACCGTAGCCCCTCATAGGGCGGCAACCCAACTTGCAATAGATTTCGATTACATTTACACCACTGAACGGGCATGGTTCTTCTTCGTTTTGCATTAGATACACCGTTTAAAGAACGTAGATTAATATTCTTTAACGGCTGGAAAACAGTAATCGCAAGAACATTGTTAAAATCGCATTTGTTTGCAACGATTGACACTGTATCTCGTCATGCGTACCCCGTTTAGTTCACTTTAAATAGCTCTTCCATCGTTCTATGGACAAGTTACACCTTGATCAAGCATTCAGTTTGAAGCTTAAAGAACGTAGATTAATCCCCTGTCATTGAAAATAACAATAAACGACCAGAACACTGTTAAAATCGCATTTAATCGCGGATTACCACTATTGTTTTGACCGGTGGCGCCATCCGTGGTGGAACGCTGAAACTACTAGCCATATAATTGGCTAGTAGTTTCAGCGATTCGCCACGGATGGCGCCACCGGTCAAAACAATAGTGGTAATCCGCGATTAAATGCGATTTTAACAGTGTTCTGGTCGTTTATTGTTATTTTCAATGACAGGAGATTAATCTACGTTCTTTAAGCTACAAATCGAATGCTTGGTCAAGACGAAAGTTCATAGGATAACGTTGTATGACTTGTCCAAAGTGAACTGAACGGGGTACGCATCGCGAGATAGAGTGTCAATCGTTGCAAACAATTGAGATTTTAACAATGTTCTTGTAATTACTGGTTCCCACCTACCAGAGAGTACTAATCTGCGTTCTTTAAACTTCCAATGTAATCCATGATGAGGAAAATTGATGCTCGTTTAGCAGTGTAAATCCGATCGAAACCTGTGGCAAGTACATAACCACTAAACAGGCAACACTTTTCTTCGTCATGCACTACATTCGAAGTTTAAAGAAGGTAGATTAGTACCCTGTAACGGCTGATTCGTCTTGACCAAGCACTCAACTTGTAGCTGAAAGAACGTAGATTAATCTCCTGTCAGTGGCAATAACAATAAACGATCAGAACACTGTTAAAATCGCACTTTATTTGCAACGGTTGACACTGTATCTCGGCATGCGTACCCCGTTTAGTTCACTTCAAAAAGCTCTTCCATCGTTCTATGGACAAGTTACACGTTGATCAAGCATTCAGTTTGAAGCTGAAAGAATGTAGATTAATCTCCTGTCATTGAAAATAACAATAAACGACCAGAACACTGTTAAAATCGCATTTAAACGCGGAATACCACTACTTTTTTGACCGGTGGCGCCATCCATGGCGAAACGCTGAAACTGCTGGCCATATAATTGGTTAGCAGTTTCACCGATTCGCCACGGATGGCGCCACCGGTCAAAAAAATAGTGGTACTCCGCGATTAAATTGCGATTTCAACAGTGTTCTGGTCGTTTATTGTTATTATCCATAATAGTGGATTAATCTACGTACTTTCAGCTACAAATTGAGTGCTTCAGCTAAACGAAAGCTATCGGTATAACGGTGCAAGAGATGTGCAAAGTGTACTAACCGGGGTACGCATGACGAGATACAGTGTCAACCGTTGGAAATGAAGTGCGATTTTAACAGTGTTCTGGTCGTTTATTGTTATTATCAATAACAGTGGATTAATCTACGTACTTTCAGCTACAAATTGAGTGCTTCAGCTAAACGAAAGCTGTCCGTAGAACGGTGTAAGAGCTGTATAAAGTGAACTAAACGGGGTACGCATGACGAGATACCGTGTCAACCGTTGCAAATAAATATTATTTTAACAATGTTCTTGTAATTACTGGTTCCCAGCCGTTAGAGAGTATTATTCTACGTTCTTTAAATTTCGAATTTAATGCGTGACGAAGAAAAATGATGCCCGTTCTCACAAGTACTAGTTTCTAACTTCGTTTATGAAAATACAAATTCGAAAATCTTCTCGCACCACACATCTAGGGCAGTTCTGTCCTGAACTTACGCACAAAACGTAATTAAAATCATTTAAATAAAATAATAAAATTTCATATTTCTCATAAATACTAAGACGGGGTTGTTGTTTAATAATTTATGATAAAATACAAATTATTCATTTGTAAAGCTTCATTACAAGATCCACTAAATAATTTTCTATAACATTCAAAGTACTAGACATTTTTAGAACACTGAATCTCATATCGATTTCTAAAATAATCCTAGTTCGATGTAATATAAAACGTGGTTTTATGAGATAGATTCGAAGTTCGCAGCCATTAGCTCGGTATTGTCTTCAGTTTACAGTACTTTACCGATGACAATACCGATTGCCCAGGCCTCACCACGAGGAGGTTGCTGCGAGTGGAGGCCCAAGGCAGGTAGATGGAATCACAAGTTCTACATCTACCCACCTTTCACAATAAACCTTATAAATAACTTAAATCTTAACTATCTAATACTACCGGTACTAAAATCCCTCGGCGGATGACTTCTTTCTTGAGCCTAAACCTATAAAAAACTAAGTTCCCTCGTCGGTTGTCTTCGTTCTTCAGCTTAGAACTAATATTATCTTAATATTCTAATTAATACGAATTAATGCTAGTAATACGAAATAACAAATTTAACGCAATGTAGTCGCTAATACTCAAACGAAAGAGATAGACGGAATGGAAAAAGTTCCATCGATCATTTCGTTTACGCACCTAATATACCAAGCCAAAAATTAATTCTACGATGAACCACGTTAAACTACAGTATGAACAAGTATCGCGATGAAAGTGTTGTCGCCAGAACCTGGTTTAAGAAAATAGGAAAGACGGGCGCAACCTCGCAAACCCGAATCCATCTCTCACTTTCCAGGCCCTTTGGGCTGGTCACCTACGTACCAGACCCGAGCACAGGTCATGACCAAGTATGGTAGTGCAAGCGAGATCCCCTGTAAAACAGAGTCCTTTTACGGAGCAGACTCCCGACTACTCCGTAGGCGGGTACGTTGTACCCAGGCGCGCACGAGCCTTTACTCCAAATCCTACTTACCAGGCAAAGACTAAACACGTCCGATATCTGGCTTCTCAATAGAAACCAGAGGGATCGGCAAACAGTCTTAGTGCACAGGCCCACTGCCCGTACCATAATAGGTACAGACCCACTGCCCATACCCCAAGTCTGTGTAGAGAAATCAACGAGCAAAATGAATTAATAATAACTTGGTATGCACAATGGCTGATCACAATTTAAGTCTATTAATAGATAGACTAAAATTAATAATAAACGATGTGATGATGAATATGAATATAACAATGAATATCGAATTATGATTTAAGTTTAACTTACAGTAACTTAACGCAGTGGTAGACGCACGCTTTGAAGATGTAGACGTTGATCGATGTCTTCTTTCGATGGAATAACTGTTTGGAAAAATATTTTTCATTATACAATACACATAGAATACATAATATGCACAGTAAATAAATCACAGTAAATAAGAAAATAAATATCGAAGCCAATGGTTCTCGAACATCTGTAACATACAAGGGATTAGTAACAAGAGAGGGGACACAACAATATGCACAGTAAATAGATTAATAATATGCACAGTAAATAAATTAATAATATGCACAGTAAATAAATTGATGGTTGTCGAATGCCTGCAACAAACAATGGGTTAGTAACAAGAGAAAGGACGAGTATGAGACGCGCGACCACCCTCCGCGACGGTTCACGACAAAGTGAGGAAGCAAGCACAGACCTGCACGGGATGGTACGACCTTGGTACACGGCGTACACGGCTAGTCAATAAACAGTGTGACGCAACGTCACTAGCGCGTTGGACCGACAGAGAGCACCGATACTCGGCACGGTCTACCGTACTCTCTCGCTCGCACACCTCTCCCCATAGACCCCTGAAATTCCACGGCACGCGTCACACCGACGGAGAGCACCGATACCGCGGCTCGCTTTACCACTCTCGTTTATTTATGATGTTCATATTCCCCAAATAAATATAATTTTTAACTAATTTGTTTAAGCGACATGTTCCTTTTAAAGATTTAGCTCTTTATCAGGAGTGATTCACAAGTAGCAGTTCACGCCATCTCTGGTATTGACACTAAAGTGGTAAGAGGGGTTTGAAGCCCCTGAAGCATGTGACAGAAAATTGCATTGGATGTTAGGTCTAATCTATATCTCGTCCGTGCCTATACTTCATCTGTAATAGTTGTGTTTCTTCTATATAAAGCTCGATTAATGTAATCGTCAGTAAAAGAGTATCTTAGATTAATGTTCTGTAAAGAAACAAAAGTGTGTGGGTATATAAAAGATCATGAGATGATTGTTAACATAAAATTCAATACAATATCGAGCAATATATCACGTAACAATTAATTAATCCAGCTACGATAAAAAAGTAGTAAGCACACGATAGTCAGCTTTATATGTTAAGAAAAATGGTTCGGATAAAATGGACGTTAACAAAGGCTCCAAACATCTTTAAGTAAGTCACCAAAAGTAATGAAAACGCTTGTTATTTCTTCGAATGTTTTTTTTTAATTTACCTGTTGTAGACTTAATGTGAAGCAAAAATGGTGGCGCCTTCAAATTATTATAAAATCTTTATTCTATAATGACTTTTTGAACTGGAGTTACATCTGTGATATTCTTTTGGAACCAATGTTTTGGTTCGTAGAAAATTTCACTGCCTGCTTAGGACCGGTAATTACTTTTGTAATCCTCTCTAGTTTTATGTATTTCACAACTTACATGTTAAGGTTTACAACAATTATATAATGTTGTTAATAAATGGATTTTGCATTAGTCACAATGTATTTACTAAGCTTTGCAGTTCACAGGTATTTGTAGTAATGGTAAGCCTTTTGACTGCATGTATAGTGTACATTGCATATTACATTGGTCTACCATATTGGTGGGAGAAGAGTCCAACAATGACAGTAATCCTGCTATTAGTTGGAAACTGGTTACTAGTCAATGATTGTTTTCATTATTATATGGGAGTAAACATTCCAGCTGGCTATCCACCACAAGGTAGCCTGATTCCAGAGGCTGTAAGCATTTGTAAAAAGTGCATTAAACCAAAACCACCTAGAACACACCATTGCTCGGTATGCAACAAATGCATTCTTAAAATGGACCATCACTGTCGTATCCTTCTAGATTGAATTTAACTGTTTGATAGATCTATCAATTCTTGTAGATTTCTTGACTCAGAAAATAGCATGGCTGAATAACTGTGTTGGACATTACAACCATAGGCATTTTTTTCAGTACATGGCTTTTACAGTGCTGGGAATTTTATTTATTATGCTGTTTGGAGTTGAAATAGCATATCAAGAATTCTTTCCTGCACAAGATCCTGAATTAGATGGCCATCCAGTGCGGATTAACAATTCTGAAATTATTCCCATGGTAATCTTTATAACTGTCTTTAGAATAAATAGAATTCCTGAGCAGAATTACCATCTTTTCTATTAGATGTTTGAGGTTTTCATGGCCTAACAGTTATGACTGTTATTACTGTCAAAGTCTCAGCAGTAACATACTTGTTACTTCAATTGCAGTTCGAATCTCTGGACCATTTAAGCGAAGAAGAATTAGCGGAAATAGCCAAACAAGCTGCTGATACAAACGCTAAAGAATGGAGGCGACGACTTATAATCTTTGCAGCGTTAATTTGCGTGGCGACTTTCGCGGCACTGGGAGCGTTAATGTGGTGGCACGCGGGTCTTATTACCAGAGGGGAAACAAGTATAGAGGCGAGAATAAACAGTACGGAAGCACAGAAGTATACTGATCTTGGAAAAGTGTATCAAAATCCATATAATTTTGGACCTAGACAGAATTGGAAAATATTCTTAGGCATAGTTGGCAGGTAGATGAAACTGTTATTGTTCTGTTAGCAACATTTTTTAAGTATAATAGTCAAATGATTAATATCATTATTCCTTTTTTAATTGTAGAAGTTGGTGGCGTGTTTTTTTACCATCGAATCATGGCCCATACGGGGACGGACTTACATGGAAAACTATTCACGATACAAAGATTTCGTGAATATAATTTCGACGTTTTAAACGGCGACGATTGCATTTATTTTTAAGTTACTTTCACAGTTTTTAAACAGTTCTAGTCAACCTGCAACTATTCAGTAGTCCATACAATTCACACGATCCGTAGGTGAAACTAGATATAAAATATTCCGAAAGAGTTAATATCATTGTAAGAAGAATATTCCGTTTTTACGTTTACAAAGTAATCCAACGAGTGTGTGTATATAACGATTACATTTCACAATGGTACATCTAAGAAATGTATGCCATTACCTTTAATGTACATTATTAAGCAATACTACCATTAAATGTAGTTTAAACTTTTAATCTTCAACTTGATCGGGTCAATTGCAGAATAAATAAACTTTTTTATCTTTGCAAAGTGAGACTTACATTGATACAAAAAAAAACAATCAATGTTCCGGCCAAACAATGTCCTCTATCCAGTTAAGATAATGAGCAACTCTTGTGTACACTCCAGGGTTGTTCGGAAACGCGCAACCTATTCCAAAGCTGGTGATACCTACTACCTGAAAGAGGCACGAATTCTTTGGGTGAACTATTTGTAACGGACCTCCTGAATCTCCTTGGCAAGTATCTTTCTTCCATCCACCGCGTTCATCCCCGGCGCATATCATACGCGGTATAATTCCGTATGGTAGTTTCGTGATTTTCTGATATAAATATATCGTTGAACATTTTAAGTTATCAATAATATCAAGTTCAGCCTTTTGCAATAGATTACTTCCTTCCTCGTCGTCTGTAAACATTTCCTTAGGTCTCCATATATGTTTAAGAATATTTATGGGAATCATTAAATTGTATTTTACGCTTACCATAGTCTGTAGTGCCCCAGCCAGTAACGGTTGCGGTTTGAGGTATAGTATCGAATTCATCGTACAAACAAGCTGGTCTTATATAATTAGTAATTTCAACAGGTTTATTTAACCGCACAAGGGCTATGTCATTGTACATAGCAGCACTGTTGTAATTCGGATGGCGTATTGTGTTCTTTATTGTAGTTATAGTACCTTCTTGATTATTTTGCACATTGTGCAGACCGATACGTACATGTGTCAATCTTTTATTAGAAATATTAGCAATTAACAGTGTTTAGTTTCAAGTGATATATGTTTATCTAATGGATTCGTAATAATGAAGATAAGATAATACCTTTCCTTAAAACAATGGGCTGCTGTAAGTACCCATTCTGGTGAAATAAGCGAACCACCACAGCTTGTATGAAATGTTCCATGTGCGGTTCTAGTACCCAGGGCAACCATGTGAGGAAACTCATTAGGAGTAGCAGTAACACCTCCGACAACAAGTTTATTTGCATCCTTGCAATTTTGACTGGTCAATGTGAACACCTTATCATTAGAACCGTCTAAATGCTGTACTCCAGTTGAACTTAAGGTTGGTTTCCCATATTCATCGCACACTGAGAGAATAAGATAAATGCAGTTAATATTATAATGTATTTATTGTTATTTCTTCTGTTTAAGGACACTTACTACGTTCCGACCTCCTTTTTGGATCTTCAAACTCAATTTTCCTGGGTAACTCATTCGTACCTGATAGCTTCCCAATCAGTGTTTGTATATTAGCATTTAAATTACTTTCAGGAGGTCTTGCAGAATTTCTATCTGCATTAAGTGCACCTTGTAAAAAAGGATCATTTCATCATCAACACTAACATTAACATCATCTGCTGTTTTGTTTGTATTATTATTTACAAGTGAAGCCTGATCGTTTTTCATGCTACTGTTAGAAAACACGACAAAGACGAGTTAGTAGAAATTGAAGAGTAAATGTTATCCCAATTTATAGTTGTGTCGCGACCCTGAAGGAATAGATTCTTATCAATATTGTCGCTTAACTGCGGCAGGTTCATGGTACTTTGAAGAAACGGATCTTTGCTTATATTATCGCTTAGTTTGGGGTGGACTGGGTTTCTTTTTCCTTGAATTTCCTAGAATTACATCTGCCTTTACATGTGAATGGTTCAGAAAAGTAGAAACGGATAATTAATAAAAAAAATTGGAACCATGTTCACCATGCAAAGCGGTCATGCAGTACGGAATACAAAGTATATGCGGTATAAATATCAAACTTAAAATATTTCACCTGTGTTCTTCGCGGACAACACTAACACAAATATGCATAATATAAATATCGCAGGAATATTCAGTCGAGCCGCCATTATTGCAACCAGCAGAAGCGAAACTTTTCCTGGACTCGGATTAATGTGGAATGAAAAAAAGGAAAAATATTGTTTATGTCGTTGAGACGAAGTTCGTCAGAAATGCATCATCTCTATGTCCTTCGAGTTACGTTTCCATCTCTCGTGTACTTTCGACCAATGTTTATTGATTCTGCTGAAAAATTTTATTTATTAAAAATAATCTGTCGATCTAGCGATCTGCCAGTCCATAGATCCATTGTTCATGTGTGCGTGTATGCCCTAAATAGCATTCGATTGGTCAATCAAGGATCTTCTTAGTTATCCAAATACCACGTGACTCGGAAGCAAGTGACAAAAATTATAATCACTGGTTTGCCATTGGGAGAGGGATTTTCCTAATGATTACATGATACTGTGTTTACATATTTCACGTTGCAACAGCCACGGTTTTATGTAACTCCGTATCACAAAGTAACAAAAGAACTGTCGAATAAAACTTACGTGCCATCTTAGAACCGATTAATGTTATTTCAATACATCTTCAGAACAGCTTTTCGTCACCTTTACGCGTGAAAACCGGGAATTCCCGAGGATTTTAACGTAGCAACGGTTTTACTAAAATTAAATACAATCATAAAAACGATACGAAAAATCGTAAAAACGATATCAAACAAACCAGCTGATTGGTACAATTCGAAAATTTTACCGCTTATCCCCGTTACACAAGAACACGATGTAATTTGTTCTACCACCGATCGACATCGGATGCGTCTACGATCCTTCGGTGACAAATTATATAATTGTCCGTGTATATTCGAAATGATTATTCGCCTCTCCTAGTTCCGATGCAGGCTAATATACCACTACCAATTGCTCTAATTCATCACAAAGACAAATTGCCGTGCCGACAGCACAAGCGTAAAGAGTATATAAAGAGGGTCACCGGGTAAAACTGGATGATCATTCTGCCAACTGATAAAAGTTCGCGCTCAGAGTTCGTTCTACAGTCGCAAGAATGCACCGTTTCGCGATCTTTCTTGGTTTTTGTTTTCTGATCGCGGGAGGGATAGAGGCGAAGGACGCGACGGGGTCGCCAAGGATCGTGATCGTGGGCGCAGGTGCATCGGGGATCGCGGCTGCGTCGCGGTTGCTTCAAAACGGTTTCAATGACGTTTTGATTTTGGAGGCCGAGGGCCGAATTGGTGGTCGTGTTCATACGGTCAAATTTGGTGAGTCTCTGGACACGGCACGGCGGTGATTTTCGTAATAGAAAACCGATTTCGGTGTACCAATGACGAATACATATATATTTTTTCTCGTAGAGGACTACGCGATCGATTTAGGCGGGCAATGGATACACGGGGAAAAGGGGAACGTCGTGTACGAACTGGCAGCCCCTTTGAATCTCACCGATCACTCGGAACCGTATCACATTGAAATGTACACATCGAACGGCGAACTGCTCGATCCTATCCTCACGAAGAATTTTACAGCACTTTACGATCGGTACATGGAGAACGCGGCAGACGAACAGTGGGCGAACGAGTGCAACGCTTCAATCGGCGAATGTTTAGAGCCCAAGTACGAATTTTACAGCGTTCGCCGAAACAGGGACACGTATCATAAGCGCACTCAGGTCATGGAACTCTCTTTTAATACGTGCAGATGAACGTATCGGGTGTCGTTGGGTCTTCGACATTTGACAATTCGAAATATAGTAATACATACATACATGCAGGGGGTTCTTGATACAGTGGACTCTTGATATATTGCAGCTTGCTATATTACTGCACGAGGCACTTCCCCTGCACGCGAATCAGCTCACCATCCAATTCTTACGCATGCGTCTGAGCCGAATTACGACAACAGAACAGACCCTTTCCACAAATTTTACTTTCCTGCAGCCCCGGCAATATCTCAAGAGTCCGCTGTATTTGTAAACGAATGATTACAGAGAATTGCAAAGTAAAAAACTAGAACTGCTAAAGATTTACACTTCCACTACCGTTAAGGAAGTGGGTAATGTTATGAACGAAGAACGACCTTTTTCCCGAGTCCACTCCTGAAGCGATAGGCCACGCTGTTCGGTAATATCCGTGTGCAATGTTTTATTTGTATTGCCACAGGATAAGAGAACAGTTGTCCCAACTTCCGGGAGTGAATGAAACAATGCAGGACGCGTTACTGTGGCATTTCAATCTGATACAGACGAGCTTAGACGCTGCCGATTCCTGGTACGATATCGCCATGGAAGCTTCCGCGGAATACACAATATGCGAAGGTGATCGTGCTGTCAATTGGAAGGAACGTACCTACAGTACTATTTTAGATATATTAATGGTCTGTAGACATACAGTTATTTCACGATCGTATTATATATACACAGGGATCGAACACGTCTATTTAATTCGTTTGTTCCCGTATATTTTTCCGTTTAGAAAAAATTCCCAAATCCGGAGGAGCAGTTACCCGTGTTGAATAAAACGATCCTGAATGCTGAGGTGACGAATGTCGACTACTCGAGCGAAGACGGTACCGTAAAATTGATGACGCTCGATGGAAAAGAGTACACTGCCGATCACGTAATTATGACGCCTTCTTTGGGGGTGCTCAAAGCGCAACACGAAACTCTATTCACTCCCCAACTACCAGAATCGAAAATCAACAGCATTAAGGTACACGTATTCGTTGCTTGACAGTTCACCGATGAAATGATTAATCGAACGTAGCTCATTATTTTAGCATCTGGGATTCGGGAACGCCGGTAAGATATTCTTGGCGTTTAACGACACTTGGTACAACAATGCGGGAAGAAAAAACGCGGGCTTCGATCTTTTGTGGACTACGGCGAACAGAAAGGAACTCGAAAGCAATGTACGTACGTTGTCCGTAACGAATCATTATTAACACTAAACCTACCACGACCGATTTTGCTGTTCTAAATCCTATCTTTCTGAAGGATTCGGTAGATTTAGTGTTAAGAATTTATTGTATTATGTTTTCGCGTCCTCATCAGCCAAAAACGATGTGGCTTACCCATGCGATGGGCTTCTACCTTGTTGAACACAAGCCCCGTTTGTTGTATATATGGGTTTCCGGCAAAGGTGCACGTCTGATGGATGATGTGACCGACGAAGAAATTCTCAGTCAAACGGTAGGCGTGTTAGACACTTTCTTGTCGAAGGATTATAACATCAGTCGGCCAATAGCGATGATAAGGTACCATTCTTGTGGTTATCGAAGTATATTTCTTGTCTCACTCTTTCGGTCTTTATCTAATTCTTGCGAAATATGTCTCCCTTGTCCATTGCAGAAGCAATTGGCATCAGAATGAACACTTCCGTGGTACGTACAGCTTTCGAAGCTTAGAAACAGTGAGAACGAACGCGAGCGCGGATCAGTTGGCCGAACCTGTGATGAAAGTGGGCAAACCGGTAGGTTCCTCCGTTGCGATTACCTTCGAATAAATTAAGCGAAACAGGTTCATCCTATTCATTCTCTGTTTCCAGGTGATTCTATTCGGTGGAGAGGCTACTAATCCGCGTTACTTCTCAACGGTGCACGGCGCCGTCGGTGCTGGATGGAGGGAGGCCGACAGATTAATAAATCTGTATTCGAAAACCCACAGCACAACCGAACAAAACTCACAGTGAACGACGCTACAGAAAAAAAGAAAGAAAATAAAATTCATGTAAATAGGCTGTTAGCTATACACACGTTTGTATTTATAGATGCAGATGCGGTCTCTGACACGGTCGGAACAATTGGTACGATTGTACAATATCAAATATAAGAATTTTTTGTCGTCCTGAGGTAGAACTGACTTTTGGATATTCTCGAATCCCCCTTAAAAATCAACAGCTCGATACGCGTGATACCGTAGAAAAACACGAGCCTGTTGTACACCGGTGTCGTAGGCGCCGTGAGTCGTGGAAAAATGAGTCTCGCTTGTCGCTTCGCCGGCGAACATGATAGTGGGCATATCCTGAAACGAAACAATAGCCTGGGGAATAGGTTTCACGTTACACAAATGACTGCGTGTCGCTTCACCTACCTGACTGCTATGATTCCCTATTACTTTACTGCATATCGGTTCCGCCAACGTGGCCGGCGTTATTCCTTTATCGTCGCATCGCGTCGGGATGTGACTGTAACTACCCCGTATATATGGATTCGAGTACCATTTTGTCCTTAAGCATTTTATCACCGGAGGTATTGCATCGATCTTCAGATACTGTTTAAGCAGCCTCTCGCAATCAGCCGCTATCTGTTGTTCGCTCAGGGTCTCCACGATGTAAGCTCCGCATCCGCCGACCCAACCAAGAAGTACACCGTCAGAGTCGGGAAGAACATCGAAACCTGTCAGATCTCTGGTCCACGAGGTCTGTGCTTTCCCGTTCGACGAAGTCCCCGACGTATTCTCCGGCCAGAGAAATTGAAATCCTTTTGTGTCACGTTTCCACCAAGCCTTACCAAAATCCAGAAAGATCTTGTTAATTAAACCGAATCCAAGATTTTCGATCGCCTGTCCGACGAACTGTGGTAACGGCGGAACGAACATGGTCTTGTAGTTGTCTTTCAAGTAACCAAGGGAACTTGTGATTATGACGCAATCGGAGAGAATTCGTGTGTTGTCGGACAGATTCAATACAACAGGCGCCACGACATGTTTGTCGACAACACGGCGCCATTCGATACAGTCCACGGTAGTGTTCAGTCGCAAGTTCTTTGCATTTAGACCATCAGCAATAAGTTTCGTTAGGGAATCGTACCCTAATTTAAACAAAAGATTCTCGGAACCTCCGACGAACTATAAATGACACAGTTGAATTAGTCTCAAGTCGTGGAGCTGTTCGCCATTACGAGTTACCTGTATTCACCTTGAATTTGCACCAATATTTCGTGGACATATCCTCTAACGTGAGACAGGAATTGTCGATCACGATAAATCTAACGTTCCAATCCATAAGTTCCTTTTTAATGTTCGCTATCGTTGAACAATCGTCCCTCTCTCGCAGGTGTATGTTCAAAGCGTTCTTCAGAATGTTACCAAGATTCTCGAAACCCTTCTCGAGATATTTCTTCTCGTTCTCGCAATCTTCTAACGTAGTACGAACAAGATCGTCTATTTCTTCTACCAAGGCCTCGTCCACCTTGGCTCCGTTGTTACGAATGAAACTACCCTGACCGTCTCTGAAGTCGATGTCGGATATTAAACCGTTCTGGTAACACAGTTCGCCTAATTGACTTTGATCACCGTGCAAAAACTGCGCACCACATTCTATTCGAGTTTTATTCCACGGTATCGTTCGGATTCGGCCACCAATTTCGCTCTGAGCTGAAGTTGAATAAGTAGTCAGCGTCACATCACATTCCTTCTTGGAGCACGATGTTCATTCACAGTCTAATTACCTTCAAGTAGCAAATAATCTTTGAAATTCGCTTCCTCTAATGTCTTTGCAGCTGCCAATCCAGCTATACCCGCACCTACTATTACAATTTTAGTCTTTTCTGGTGTTTGGTTTCCAGTACGCAGTATCCTTCCCATTTTGTCGAAGTTGTTTATCACTTGCTTTAACCAACCACACGTTCTAGATGATTTGAATTGTGATTTTTTCATTAACATTTGATTGCTCTGACGTAAAAGTTTCGGTATATATCTATATACAATATATATTTATAATTATATATAGTACATATATGTACATGAATCTATTATCAAAAATTGGAAGCAGATAACAATTGACAAATGCAACAAGTAGATATTAGGAGTAAATTTCATTGGACTTCTACTATCATATATTTATTATTAAACATAAAAGTACATATTATTCTTATGTTCGATCTTCCATAGAATTGAAGCAATAAAAGTAAAAAGTTACTTGGTACATTGCACAACTATTCACTTACAATCTAACATTGTTTGTTTGGAATGTTAGAAATGTATGTATAAGAAGCATTTGATCCTTGTATAAATGTTGTAAAGCATCGAATAAGTCAATAGTTTACCGTCATCCTTTTCGAAGATGTGGTTCTGGCTAGAGCTGTGACTTTAACCGCCTAAGAAAAAGCATGCTAATCAATACAAGTACTATGATTCAGTATGTCAGTATAAATTCAGTAATTATGTCTTGCCTTCAAGATGAAAAAGAATTTCAAATTAATTAAAAATAAATGAAAACCAAAGGTCGTGCTGAGTATTATTATTGTATGTGATAAAACACGATTTGCAAAATGATATATAATGAAAATCAGGATGATGAAGGCTTGCTGAAGCCATGCAGTGACACAAAAATAAAATTACCTTAGAATAATTTATCGTTTAATCATAAATAGAATCGTTACTTGTAATTAAAAATCCTTTATCATAGCTAGAATGAGTGATCAAGATGTCTGTACTATTCTTCTATGCTATAGCTACGTGATTTCGAATGAGCCTAAAATGTTGATTGGAAATAAAAAGAATTCAGAATTTACCTATGGAAGTCTATTATTCTATCTGCTTCTCTGAAACCGGTCTCAACCGCTCCATGCACGGTAGAATAATAATGATCGTGCGTTGCTTCTCCAGCAAACAGAATAATCTAATGAGTAGTTAAGTTATGATAACATTTAATTTACGTCATTGCTTAGGTTTAAAATCATTCGAAGTACGTACAGGTTTGCCATCAGTCGTCAAAATTGGATCTGCTAAGTCTTTAGCCCATACATCTAGCTTTTCAGTTGTTGTACTTCTATAGCTATAAGATCCACGAAAATGTTCATCCATGTACCAGGATGATCTACAAATCATAAACAACATACTAGTATTCACAAAGTAACAAGTATGTTGTATAACAGTATGTTATTTACCTAAGCATTCGATCAAATCTCGGGATGTTATAAGATTTATTCAAAAATGTTTCCAGCAAAAGATGCAACCCATCAGATACATTACTATCAGAAAGCAGTTCTATATGTTTTGCATATTTACCAGAGATCCATGCACATAACACCCGTGGCTGATAGTCTACAGGAATGAATGCAAAAACATCGCACAGCCATTCACGTTCCTAAATCGTATATAACGCATTTAATACGTTTAAAAAATAATATAAATACATATAAGGTTAAATTGAATGCAACTTTACTTGTCCATGAGATTCAAGAAATTTTTTTTTATCTTCTTTGGACCATATTAAACTGAAAGCAGTACAATCTTCTTGCCACCATCTGTGTGGGAATTCTAGGAAGATTTTGTTCACAGTTCCAATGTTCAAACCCTAAGTAATAAATTAAATTTTAATTTTACATTAAATGCACATTGTGAACATGTAATATAAAAACTTCAGTATTACCAACTAATGTCACACTTTTACCGTGCCTTTATTGCATGTTGTTTTCTGCCAGGCAAAATAGGTGTAAACATAGTCTCATGCTTCTCTTTCAGAACTCCAAGAGAAGGAGTAAATATAACATGGGATGCTGTGTACTTTGAGCCATCCTTTGTCTTTATAGTTACATTATTCTTTGATGTGTAGTCAATATTAGAAACATCTTTATTAAATTCTATTTTCTCCATTATGGGTAGCACATCTTTAGTACTTGAAAGTTTCTGTTGAAAACACAATAATATATTTATTGTATAGAGTACCGTTTAGTATTATGGTTACATGAATTATACATACAGATAACAAATCAAACAGTGTTTTATAGCCATGGTATTTCCAATTAAGTAAATACTCTCCCTCACACGTCCAATATTGTGTAATTCCTTTTGCAGAAACATCGAACCAGGAATCACTGCATTGAATTGAATTATCAAATTTATGCATCCAATCCAACAATTGTTCGGCTCTATCGCGGGTAGTAAATGGATTCTTTTCAAAAATCTTATAAAATCTAAAAGAATAAATCATTCGTGTTAATGTAATTGTAGTTACAGCAAAAGAAAAACATCCCCTTACTCATTTATCGTTGCAACATTTAATTTCAAGTTTCTGTAACATTTAAATGAATATTTGTTTCATCTCCGAATTCTACGGATTCTGAATTTTAGCGGCGAAACCGGAATGTGATATGAGTCATCGGCCTTGGGATAAATAGTGGTGGGGAAACGGTGAAACCATGATACATTTGTTGCAACTATACAGTTAATTGTAATCACATATGTTCGTACGCGTGAAATGAAATTTTGAACGTATTCACCTATACCACTTTCAATACTGTTCCTATTCATATTATTTTCTCGCGTTTGTAAATTATAAATTTATGAAAATATATTTTCAATTATGTTGCGATTTACTGAGATGCAGTATAACGTTACATTCAAAGAGCGATTGTACTAGAACGTATTTTTTTTCCATACTTATTCTCTAACATGTTTGCAAAGAGGTAAGAATACATCTTAATCAGAGATTATGAGGATCAGCAACAAAATGATATCTTAAGCATATGTAGATTAAGCCATAGAGATTATAGATAAGAATATTGTCTTTGTTTGACAGTAAAATGTATACAATTTGATACATGGTTTTAGCAACATTGATCCTGAATTGGAAAGGCTGAGAAAAGAGGTTGATGGCCCACCAAATTTGGATACTGCAGCATTGAATATAAAAAGAACCACTTCTCGAATTCATGCTTCTTTCTTGTTTGAACACATTGGAAGACCAACATTACAAAAATTATGTTTAATATTAAGTTCCACAGCTACAGGAAAAACATATGATGGATGGCAAGAATTTGCATCATACATGGGCCTGACAATGGAACAAATGCGTGTATGCATTACGATACAGTAATGTATTTGCCAATGGATTCTAAATGATATTTAATGTAATGACCACTTTTCTTGTAGTGCATAGATTATGATTTCAAGGGCCTACAAGATCCAACATACTACGTATTGTTAGCTTATGTACAACATGTTGATGCAACCATAGACAAGATTTTGACTGCCTTACAGAAAATGCATCGTTATGATGTGATTAATCAAATAAAGGGTAACATTTCTGATTTAGTTCATGCAATTCAACAGGAAACTCCAATTACTGGTATTTTAATAATTGCTTTCAGAACATAAACAATTTTACATTTTCTATATCATAAAATGAATTGTTTATGCTTATACAGAGTCTACCATATTGAGATCTACAAGTGTTCCAAGAGCACCCTTAATCTTAACTCCACTAGAACATGTACAAAGTGTACAAATAAAGACATGTGACTCTAAAAATATCTCGCAAGATAACTTACAAAAGGTATACTACATAAATATTTCAGGAAGTTAATTTTTGTTAAAAATAATGATATTTTCTATTGATAGACCAAAAAGACGTATGGGTGCATAGTTATGTTGACATTTGCTGAAGATGGTTTAAAAACAGCCCAATATGTAGCAAAAACATTTAGGTCTAAGCAACCTCGGATTGGAGTACTTATACTTCAAGAACAAGAAAACCATGTATATAGTAAAGCAGAAGAGTTTATAGATGATTGTTTTAGTCAAGTAAAGTAATTTTATTTACTTGCTCTTAAAATGCTTAACGATTTACTCATTTTGCTTATTACATCCAGGTGAATTTCATTATACCAATATTGACACAAGGGTACTTGGAAAGAATACACAATCCTAAGAAAGTATATAGTGAAGACCAAAATAAATTAGATACTAAGTATATAAAGTATATATCTTCCTTAATGAAATATGAATATGTAAGAAATCAATGCATTAATTCTCGCGTAAGGTTTGTTTCCTAATATCATACTTGTTCTTTTATTTGATACACATTTTCACAGATAAAAAAAAAATGTTTTCCTTCAGGTGTATAGTACCAGATAAAGAAGTAAACACAGTGGTAAAAGCAAATTTGCATCCAACTTTCCAAGCATGGTTCAGAGAGAGTGGTATTGATACATTTATCAACATTCTTTTACAAAGATACTCATAATAAAGCTTTACTATAATATGTATATATATATGTTATGTTTGTTTATATTACTTACTGTTTAATAAAATACTCCCCATATGAACCTGCATTGTTTAGGTCATCTTCTAGATGTTCAGAAATATCATAATATATTTTTAATGTTTCTGTAGTTTCTGTCTGTGGAAGAATCTCACCCTTTGCATTAACAAAGATATGTGCACTAAAATCACTAAAACATTTTGTTGAATCCAACAGTTTGTGTGGAGATGCAATATCAGAGACAATATTTCCTTTTTCACCATGAACCCATTGTGCTCCTAGTTCAATAACATTGTCAGCTGATAATAGAGAATGTTGAGAAGAATTATTTACAATCCAGGCACTTATTCTTTATAGGGTTTAAAATATAAATGTAAATGTTTGACTTACAAAATTCCACCGTGTGTATTCTACCACCAATTCGATCTTTTCCTTCTAGAATTGTTACATTTTTTATTCCCCTTTCTAATAATCTAGCCGCCGCAGCAATGCCGGAGGCTCCTGCTCCAACAATAATAATTTTTGGCCCGTTAATCATTGTTCGTTTTAACACGTTCCGAAAGAAGCGCGTATTGTCGACATACAGGTGAAAAATATTCCTTGTAACCGATATTTATACAACACGTACGGAATAACGATAAATTTTAATGAGATAACCGTATCGTGATTATCGTCCTACGACGCAGGTATGCATTGCTTATTGCTTCTTCTATTATGATCCAATCGGATGACACGTTATTCGAGAAGCTTGTTTAGTTTAGAGATGAGAATGTTGCTATACGTGTCTTCGCAGCTTTTACGATATTTATCAATGATTTACTAGTGTATGTATTAAGATCGTCTTCTACCACAAAATATACACTAATATAAATTGTTTATGTATTTAGTTTCACAATGGTTTGACATTTTGATGTATGTAGGTTACAGAAGATATTTGCCAATTATTATTGTTCGAAATAATGAATGGATAAGTAAATAATCAGTGTGAATTATTCTCAGACTACGAAGTATTCTTTAAGAAATTCGCAACAATGGCACAAGAAAAAGATGAGATACATCGAAAGGTTAGTACAGAATAGAATTAAGAGTTTCAGTTTTCAGCTATAAGCTAATAGCCATTGGTAATTAAATCAAACTTACAATATGTTTTGTCATGTAGAGATACAGATGGGGAGAGGGAAGGGGGAACAGTCCTCTGGATGTAGATGATGATTATGTTCCCTATGTACCAGTTAAAGAGCGCAAGAAACAGCGATTGGCCAAGCTTGGCAAGCTTGGACAACTTAAGGACGAAGCTGCTGCTGGATTCATTGGGAAAAGTAGCAGTGAGAATGAGAGAGACGATGCAGATGACGATGATGGACAAGTATGGGGAAGAAAATCCAATATTTCTCTTTTGGATCAGCACACTGAATTAAAAAAGCTAGCAGAAGGTATGAATATACAAGTATCCACTAAAAGTGTAGGTTGAAGTAAGTAAGTTAACTAATTGATGATATATTTAGCCAAGAAAGAAAGTGCTATGGAGAAGCAGTTAAAAGAGGAAGAGAAGATTTTAGAGAGTGTGGCAGAAAACAAAGCTTTAATGGGTGTGGCAGAATTAGCCAAGGGTATTCAATACGAAGATCCAATAAAAACCAGTTGGAAACCTCCAAGAGCAGTATTTACTCTTGGTGAAGCAAGGCACGAAAGAGTTAGAAGGAAGCTCAGAATTCTGGTGGAAGGAGATGATGTTCCACCACCTTTGAAAAGTTTTAAAGAGATGAAATTCCACAGAGGGATTTTAAACGGTTTAGAACAGAAGGGCATTATTAAACCCACTCCAATTCAAGTTCAGGGTATACCCACAGTGTCAGTATATATGAAACACATAATTAATATTTACTTGTCTCTATAATAAAGTACTACTTTTACTTATTCATTTTGTATTTTAGATTGTCTGGTCGTGATATGATTGGAATTGCATTCACTGGTAGTGGAAAGACATTGGTATTTGTTTTACCTCTTATAATGTTCTGCTTGGAACAGGAAGTGGCTATGCCATTTATAAGGAATGAAGGACCATATGGTATACATTTTTACATTGTCATTCAAAGAAAATTAAACGTATGAAATATAATTACCATTCACTGTTGCCTTACAGGTTTAGTTATCTGTCCATCACGGGAGTTGGCGAAACAAACATATGATATTATTAGGCATTACACAAGTAGTTTACGTCAATCAGGCTGTCCTGAAATTCGCAGCTGCCTAGCTATTGGTGGTGTGCCTGTATCAGAATCGTTAGAAGTAATTAACAAGTGGGTGATAAATTCATTTTTTTAATCATTCCTTTTCTTTTGAGTAATACAATCGGTTTCATTATACAGAGGTGTACACATCATGGTAGCAACTCCTGGACGATTGATGGACATGCTAGACAAGAAAATGGTAAAACTGAGTGTGTGTCGTTACCTATGCATGGATGAAGCCGATCGTATGATCGACATGGGTTTTGAAGAGGATGTGCGAACAATATTCTCGTTCTTCAGGGTATGTAATCGTTTTCAACCGCGATACTCATAATATTATCCTATGGTTCATATATGTCAACGTTAAATGCTTTTACAGGGTCAGAGACAAACATTACTGTTTTCCGCGACTATGCCAAAAAAGATTCAAAATTTTGCTCGGTCCGCCTTGGTAAAGCCTGTGACGATCAACGTAGGCCGAGCGGGTGCTGCATCTATGAACGTGGTGCAAGAAGTTGAATACGTCAAACAAGAAGCTAAAATCGTGTACCTTTTGGAGTGTCTACAAAAGACCACACCACCAGTACTTATATTTGCTGAGAAGAAACAAGATGTAGATGCTATTCATGAATATTTACTGTTGAAAGGTGTGGAGGCCGTAGCAATACACGGCGGAAAAGGTATATTATATTTTATACTCAAAAGTATTCCTTACGGTACATTGCCCCTCCATGTTTCAATTATTCATTCGTATCTGTCCACAGATCAGGAAGAAAGATCACGTTCCGTGGAAGCTTTCCGCGAAGGTCGAAAGGATGTATTAGTTGCAACCGATGTTGCATCTAAAGGTCTTGACTTCGCCGATGTGCAACACGTGATAAATTACGATATGCCCGACGACGTGGAAAATTATGGTACGTCGTTATATTTTCTTATATTCAATGAAACACTGATTGGTTAATTGACGTTTTTCATCACAAAATTATTGCAGTACATAGAATCGGAAGAACTGGTCGTTCTGGGCGCACCGGTATAGCGACAACATTCATCAACAAAGCAAACGATGAGTCCGTGTTGCTTGACTTGAAACACTTGCTCATGGAGGCGAAACAAAAGGTTCCACCGTTCTTGTTGGAGCTTTGTTCCGAGAACGAGAAGTACCTCAACCTTGGAGGTAAAACACTTTATGGTCAACCATCATATGGTAATTTTCATTCCTACTCTGCGGCAGAATATAAATTCTATTTTCGTCATGTTTCAGACGAACGTGGGTGCAGCTATTGCGGTGGTCTTGGCCACAGAATCACCGAGTGCCCGAAACTGGAAGCCATCCAAAACAAACAGGCGTCCAATATTGGGCGTCGCGATTATTTGGCCAGCAATGCGGCCGACTATTAAATGTTTCATTTAAAACTAAAACAATTTGTATATATATTTCTAAAATAACGTTATACATCTTTTACGGAATATTGCAAATTTGTAAATAGTTTCGTACCGTTTGTATCGATAGTAAGTCAATAAAATGTAACGTAAGCCAGCCATACAGTATGTATGCTACAAATTCTTGAACGTAAAGTTTCTTCTTTTATTCAACTTCTTGTACACGCGATGATGCGTTTATGTTTCCGGTACTGATATGAGGTTGCAGATAACGTCAATAGAATATAACAGACAGAAATTTTTCAGTAACTCACATTTTCTAGCGAATTGTGAAAGATGATTCAACTTAAAGTGGACGATGAAGATTTCGTGAGGATCAAGGAGAAAAAGGAGGACGAGATGGCGGATCGTCGACGGGCGATGATGAAGAGAAGCGACATTAAGCGTGGTCTGCGTGAAATGCATATCGAAGGCAAAAAGGCAACGGAAATGGAGAAACTCCAGCGTGCCAAAGAGGTCTTCGACCTGAAACTTCGTCAGACCGAACGTGACAAGAAACTGGCCGAAGAGTTGGCACTTCGTAAACGTAAACTCTGGAAACTATTTTCGTAGCTCCGTCATGAACATACTTTATTTCTAAGAAATTATATTTCTACTTAAAACTATTTTTATTTAAAATTATATTTTTCGTGTAGATTTCGAACTGCAAGAGTTTTTCCAAAAGAAGAAGGCAAGGCAAGCTGTTTCCATACTTCCGGACAGTACTGCGCAAAACTTAGAAGCCAAACTGAAGGAGAAAGATCTCGAGAACGCGTCAAATTCGAAATTACCTGACGTGTGGCCGTTTATCGATAAGATGGATCCGAGGCAGCTGCAAGAGAAGAAGTTAAGCTATAGAAGGGAATTGCAAAATCAACAGATAGGTAATCGTCGCAGGCTGCGCGAGAAAGAAGAGGAAAAGCATCGGGAACGTAAGATTCTGGAGGAGGTTGGCGAAGCTTTGCGCAAAGAGGAAGTGGAAGCAGAAAGACAGAAGAAAGAAAAGGTTCTTATGCTGCAAGTCGAAAGGGATGCCTTTCTGAAAGCTAGACAAATCTGGAAGGACAAACGTAAGAATCTTCTCAAACGGGAATACGAGGAAATCGTAAAGATTGTGGCTAAGAAGGAGGCTCTGCAGAAGGAAGAATCCGAGCAGAAGGTTCGAAAGAAGAGTTAAACATGTAAAAATTTGAATTTTGACGATCAATTCTTTTCCCAGACCGATACCAGAATGTGGAAGGATGCCATGGCGGAGAATGTGGGAAAGAAGATACAAGCAGAGGCGTTTAAGAAAACCGAACGGGAAAGGATTTGCCATGAATTGTATCTCGCAGAGAAAGAAAACGAGCTGGCGGACGAAGTGATTCGAGCGGCGTTAAGAAAGCAACGAGCGTCGAGAGAGCTTTTGCAGGACATGGTATAGCTACAAATTCCAAAGCTTTCCTGGTTATGTCAGGCTTCTTAAAACGATCAAAATCTCAGGCGAGACACGAGAAAGCTGCGGCTGAGAGGCAGGCAAAGGACGACGCAATCGATGCAGCATTCATTCGATACTTGGTCGAACAACGTAGGAAGATGGAGGAGGCGGACAGAAAGAAGGAGCAAGAACGTCGCGAAAAAAGTATATGTAGCTCTTGTTTTTGAACAAAGCATAAAGTATGGGATACAGTACCCTGGAAATTATTCCATTTTACAGTGGAGCAATTTGGAAATGAACTAAAAGAAACGATAACGAGGAACAGCATGCAACATTCGGAAGAACTTGCGCATAGACGGTTCAGGGCTGATGACGAGGAGGTAGGGCAAAATGGCGTACCTGGTGTTGAGAAACTAAGTGACAGCAAGAATTGCGCGAAAATAAAAATTAAGTGCCATTCCGAAAGTGTTCTCGATGATTGGAAATCGCCACAGCCGAAGAAAGTATTCACGTGAATAAATTCTCCGTGGATTTCTCATGAAGGATACACTCGCAGGACTATTTCTACGTCTATTTATTGGTATACAGATTTATACACATGGTTGCCGCGAGGGGCATTGCCCTCGCGGTTCTCGTGGCTCTCGTTATTTTGTACAAAGTCCGTGTAAAAATACAGCAGCCCCATCTTATACCGGATATATATAAGTACGTGATAAATTAACAGTCGCGCCTCGGGGGTATCCAATTAGAGAAAAACCCGGATTGGGAACAAAACTAGCTCAACGCGTGTTGACTTGTGTTCCGTTGGGATATATATTTTTTTTTCGTGGCAGTTGAGGCAGTTCTCGGCCGAAGTGATCTCATCCACGTTTCCATCCCTTTCCATTCACAAGAATTCTCCCACAGAGGGACACGTTTGCATTCATACCTGGGTTGTTTTCTAACGGGGAACGGAGATGAGCTAACGAAACAGGGAACACCCGAGGTGTTAGTTATAACTATTATGTATATAATATATATGTATAAGTACGAACGTCAGTTTTCCACGGTGACTGGCTAGTCGCCATAGTCGCTTACCGAACTAAACAAAGTTATCTTGATCGTTTCGTCGACGTTAATCCACACGATTAATTAAATGCTCCCGTTAAAGACGCGCCACACGTTCGGAAAATGGATAATACACACTCTTAGAAATGGACTCGCGGAGAAAATGATTCCTGAGATCGTGAAAAAATTGTTTCGTCGTTTCCCCTCGAATCTCCTGGAAATGTTACTTTACAACTGACACACCCGGAGATTTAAGACTATCCTTTCTATCTAGAAATATTACGCACGGGGGGATATGCATATCTTCGTTCGTTCATCGAACGATCCTTATCTGTCACCGCTTGTCACAGCGAACTAAATGGCGTATTTAATAAAGTAACAATCGGTGTAACGAGCGAACAACAACAACAACAACGGGAATCAGGCGACATGGCCACTGGCTCAGAACCGGTGAAGTCACGGAATGTAACACAGATCGGTCTTAAAAGTAAAATCACATTTCCTTACGCAACCCATTCGCCTACATTGACTCGTCAATTACTTCGTTCAACTAACCGCGCGACTGACTAATCTTTTTCGTTCGTTCCTTTCGTGTCCTTTTGAGCCACGAAAGAAGGTGGTAGGGGGTAAGTGGGGTGGGGGAAGAACGGTGAACGGAATAACAGCGTTAACCGGTCGCAATATCTAGTCGTCTTTGTTGGACTCGATGAATGTCATCGCGTCACCCCTATTCAAGAAACATTGCTAAACTAATCGCTTAGATAGTATTAGGCCAATGGGTTAATTAAATGTTGGCCGCGCGCGACCGCTAAATGTTTATAGAAATTCGCGTAACAGTAAAATCACATATCCTTACGATTTAAGTACACACGTACGTACGTTGTATATATATATACAGACAAGCGGATTGTTTGTTCATTTATTCGTCGACAGCAGCCAGCAATGGCCTGCTGATCGACGATGGGAGATGAGCAAACGGACCGAGGTCTCGTACAATCTCAAATATTTTTCACGATCCATATCGCGGCAAGTATTTTGAGTATCAGTTTGCCCACCTCCACGCGATAGTCCTCTGCGTTAACCCACGCACGAAATCGCAAATAGCTACGGGATCATCGAGGAAAGTTCGAGGACAGAAGAGTTTCGTGAACAGATTCAAGAGACGCCGAGTAAATACTATTGGAAAAATATCTCTACGGCGGGAAAGAATCTCCGAACGATCTACGAGATCGAAAGGAACTTACTTAAAGCGACGAGGAGTGGAATGTTTCACGGACGTAAAATCATTTGAATATCGTAAAAGTGTATCGACTAATATCCACGGGGGGAAATTGAAATTCACGGAAAGCTAGTAGGGCGTGTCGTTCGTTTCTCGTATTCTTTATACAGTCTCAAAAATATAAATAACTCACGGAGTTTCATCATCATTATCATCACATATCCACTGAAAAAATGCAATGACCCGGCAAGGTTTACACCGCGGTTAGGAGTTGCCGGCAATAGGAACCATTGAGAATATAGTACGTTAGATCAACAGCAAGCGCAGGCAAAAGTGTCCAGAGTGATCTTTCGAGGAAAAGTCTAGGCGCTAGGTATCGCGTTCGGAAATAGTGTCTGTCACGAAAAAGAGTGTACTCGAAAAATTCGAGTATTCGAATCGCCTGCGGGCATTCTGTCTCTCATGCTTTCGTTGCCAGGAAAACTAAAAGTGTTCTCTTCTGATTTTGCGATATCCCTTTTATCCGAGGTTTCGATGAGCAGTGTACGGTTTATAGGCACGATACAGCGATAGTTTTTATAAAGTGGATCTATAGTCTTGAAAATACGACGATAGGTGTGCGGTATATCAAGTGTTTTCTCGGTTACGAGAAGAAGAACACTGTTATAACACGCTTTTTTGTCAGAGTTGCCAGGGGTAGCTACTTTTAACCATGAACATGGCGAATTTTCGTAGAGATCTAGGGGTCTTGGGGCGTACATGGTCTGTGGACGCAAGATATTTACAAAATCTCACCAAGTTTGGAGGCACAACCCCTGGCAATTCTGCTTCTTGTATCGATCTCCCCGATTTACAAAGTGTTTCAAAATACGAGGCACAAGTCGAAAGTTGGACTGTCCTCGGAAAAAAAAAACACATACGTACCTTGGTGCACTCGGTACCGAACATACGGTTGCAAACGGAATGCTTAACATGTATTCTGCACGCGAAAAGGAAAGTTTCCTTCCACAGGCGAGTATAGTTCCGTGCCGTTAGGTTATCCTCGCGCCACACGCCTGTACGACGCACAAACGTCGCGCGAAGTGTAGTCCTTTTATTTTCTTTAAAGTTGAATTTGGCCCCTTTTCTTTGGAAGAAGAAAACTTAGCTTGGATCATCTCCCGTGTGTGTGAAAAAGTAGCACTGGTGTACTACGATTCTGTACGAGATGTGCATTCTTCCATAAAACGCGAATTATCTATGGTTTCGACGGATTCGTCGGTTGACGAAACAGAGCGACGATCGGGCCGTCATTTTAATTACACTAGGAAGACGTGAAAAAGAGCTGAAAGCGCACGCGATACGTGTACGCGCGGTTGCTCGTCACACATACCCGTTAGAAAAATAAATTCCAGCACATGGTAGAACGGAAGAAGCTCATTCTGGGGTTCTATCATTTTTCTTTTTGCTTACTCGAGAAATTAAACACGTCCAGCGGCCGTGTCGTGGACTAACCGAGCACGACAACACGAGCAGCCGTCGATTTCTCCGTGGTTCAATCCCACCGACAACTAACGTCTTATTTTGATTTCCTAATAGAGTCGATCCTCCTTGGTCAACTCCAACGATTGAGTGTCGACATCATTGTCAGCGAGACCGAAATGAAGCTATACAGCATGGCATGGAGAACGTCCACTTAGTGGCCTTTCGCGACTTCGTCGGACGGGATTTCTTGACGCACACACGGATCTCTATTCACCGTGGTCACGTGTCCGAGAAGAGGAACTCGCTCTCGGATAACAACACCTCCAGATCAGATGGAACGGTATGAAGGTCAGAATTGGCCGGTTCGGGTAGGTCACCCGCACTATTTCCAATCCCTGTGGGTGCTATTTGCCTGGCCCTGCCGATTCTGACCCTGTCCTTCTTCTTCGCGGTCCTCAGCAGAACGCCTGTTCTTGGCAGCTTCGATCTACCATTCAGGTGTGTCGCGTTCGCCGTCTGGGCAGGCACTTGGGCCACTTTGTCGGGCTTTTTCAACTTCACGCTGAACCTGAACGGCGGTTTGTACACCACTTGCAGCTTTGCCCTCTCTTTTCTGGCCCCGTTGCTAGGCAATGGTTTCGCATCCCTGGATTCAGTGGGTCTTCTGGAGGCATTCACCTGTCGTGTCGTTGGTAACCTGGTCCCGGCGCCCATCAGCCCCACCGGAGTGGATTTGCTCTTGGTTAGGCCGGTCGCGCTTGTTCTGATCGTTTCTGGTCGGCACTGGGAAGAGGCTAGCAACCAGGAACGAACTTTGCTCTTGGGATCGGCGTTTGGCTCGGGTTCTTTCTCCGCCTGGATGGCGGAATAATCGATCACCTCTTTCTTGTGTTGCTTCTTCCGTTTTCTTTTATCGCTCTCCGAGTTACTGGTCGCGTTTGCGCTGGATGTTTGCTTCTCCCGTGATGGGAAGGTCTTCTTCCGTTTGTTATCTTGTACCACACCGGTGGTCGCCTCCGCTGTTCTCTTCCTGGCGAAGTCCTCGTTGGGAATCACGGGCGCTCTCTTTACCTGCTGTTGCGATTGCTTCTTCTTCTTCGATGCATCCTTTGAAGAATATAGATATATAATAATGATTGACTGTTTTTTTCTGACGGTGGATTTTTCTAGGTGTTTGTTGTTACCTTGTTGGACTTGTCAACTGCGTTCCCGTGCGAGGAGTCCTTATGCTTTCGGTGCCTCCTCTTCTCCCGGACCTTTCGGCTCAGCGGAAGCTTTGCACGTACAGCCGGCGGGTGTACCGTGACCCCCTCCGTGCCCTCCGGCGGCAGTCGAACCGTTTCCGTCGTCGAGCTGTGTATTATCGTGACCGACTTGAGTTTCAGGTCCGGCCGCTTGCCCAGAACCTTCATGCTCGCCACCTAGATGACATCAGAGCCTCGTCAGAATAATCCTATTAACAGGACACACCCTACGAGCACTATCGCCGCAGGGGAGTAGCAATTTGCAACTGCTAGCAATAGTTAGCAGCGAGATATGGTCGATGTTGAACAATCTACTGAACTGTCGGAACTTTCACAGAAGTGTATGATCGTCGAACAGCTTACAATGATCAAGGACCACAGAGTTTGGGAGGTTCTAGAAACTCTCTATGAACAATACTAGCGATCGACGGCTAAATTCGATATAGCAGATACACGAATCTACACTCCCTGAACTTACTCTTCTCACGGTTCCTCGATCGTCTCTGTCGTGAAAATCATTGACAATGTGTAATCGTGAATTATATTTCTTGCACACGCGGAGATCAGTATATGTAACAATTGGGAGATACAGGATAAAACGGAAGGTTTAAAGGAACACGTACCAGTAACGATATTGCTGCCAGAACGATCAATGCGGCCGCGTACCAATGATCGATTATCCAGCGTCGGAATGTGGCCAGACTCTCGTCGGAAAGTAAAAGCTTCCGTAGAGTCGCCAACGGACCGCTTGGATCCACCTGTACACAGACCAACGTAAACGTGAAGTAAACTATTACATACAACCAACGAAGAATAAAAGACAACAGGAAGCATATTGTCAGACCTCTCGACACTTTTGGAACACGTCGCAGTATCCGTTGTAATCGTTACAAGGTGTCCCTGGTTTGGAGAACATGTCCGGAATATCGTACGGCGGAGCGTTCCAGTCGAAGGACGATCTGTCAACGGGTAAATGCAACGATCGTTAATACAATTCCGCAAGTACGTAGATACAATATACATATGAAACTTCTGGAAGACGTACGAGCAAGGCTGATTCTCTCCCGGAAGGCGACAACAAAGTTCGCAGGCCTTCGTTGACGGATCGTTCGGTCCTGCAAAGAGTAAGATATGTATGTATAAACAATATCCGTGCCCTCGAGAGACTTGTTACATAATACTACCCCCGTTCAGTGCTTACCCCCATAAAGCATACAAATTCGCGGTTGCAGATCGTCTTGTTCGGTTTATTGATAGAAGGGGGACAATACGGTGTACGGCCGTCGCAGAAGCTCGCGTCGCGGCATCCATTGTCGTCTCTGCATTTGTCACCGAATCGTAGATGACACTCGGCGGTACAGCAAGGACCCTGTTTCAACAGTTGTACAGGATTTATATATATGTATATTACATGTGATAGAAATGTTTCTCGATTATATAATAAAAATTATCGACGTACTTGACTAGGACTGCACACGGAGCCAGATGTTAAGGTGCACGGGGTCTCGTCAGGCGGTGGATAACGTCGTTGGGGGAAGCAACACGAGTCCCTGCAATCTTCTTCCCATCCGCAGTCGCATTCTTCGCCATCCTCGACCACACCGTTCCCGCATAACGACACTTGTGGTTCTGCATACACAGATCAATTTACTTTCTTCTGTGCTGAACACACACATATACATTGAATATTCTTAAGGTTTCCCGGTGGGTATTCGATTTTTCCCCCGAGTGGAGAATGAACATCGGAGCGCATCGAGGATATACATATAAGAGGGAGAATCAAGAGCATCGATCTACGATTTTTGTTTCCGCTTTTGTCATTCAACGAATCGAGTCAGTAACTTTAAACAATGGGGAGGTGATAACCATTCAGATGACCAGATGGACACCATAGTTCCATTTAAACTCGGTACACGTTTTCTATATATACAGGGTGAGTCACATAACTGTACCGTTTAAATTTACTCATAAACTATTTGTTGTAGAAAAAAATGTTTCAAACGAAAGTTGTTTGATATCGAGCGTGGTGTAGATTGTGAATCGCAGGTTCAAATATTACAACTATAATACAAAAACTCCAGGTCACCTTTGTATCTCGATAAAACAAGCGAAATATCAAAAAACTAATTATCACATTGTACACCCCGCTCGATATCAAACATCTTTCGTTTGAAACATTTTCTTATACAACAAGTGGTTTATGAGTAAATTTAGATGGTACAGTTAAGTGACTCACCCTGTATATACCCCCGTGTCAATAACCGCGTGTCCCCTAATTGTTTCGAGTCCGGAGACCGTTATGGTAATGAACTCTTGCGCGTTCCAATCTCTCGCTATCATCGACCCGCTTAAAAAAAAAAAAACTAACGAGGTACTGAGAGAAAGAGAGAGAGAGACTGACCGGTGAAGCAGCCCTTCGGTGAACGAGCTTTGCTATTCAGAACCGGGTTGATGGCAGTCAAGCTGCACGGGCTGAAACGATTATTGTTACGCTTGTCACCGCTGGTCGCGCGGGCGAACATAATGAAGTTTCCGTCCTCACCGCCGGGCGTGCATTGTTCCGGATCGTGCTGGAACAAAGTAAAGTGCCACTTCGCGTTATGACGCGTATCGACAGTCCACCGAAGAGCGAAATGAGCAAGGAGGGGGGAGGGGAGTATAGGCTATGGGGTTCACATTTCGAAAAACACCGACACCTGTCGTCCCTCCACTCGTTTCGTTCTCCTATACAAGAGGTGAAAAAAAAAAAAAATAAATAAAAGAGTAATGGAGGTGAATTGCTGCAGGCTACCCACCGGTGAACCAAAGTTATGACCGATCTCGTGGGCCAAAGTGACGTGAGAAACGGCCGGCGGTACGTGCTTCCCGTAATTCAGCAGAGTCACTATCCCGGTGTTCAGCGACTTCATGCTGCCGCGATAGTGCTGGAAAGTTCAGACATACATTTCAACGTGTGCACGGTCTTACATCCCTTAATTCGGAAACGGATATGTTCCGAATGTATGTATGCATGTACACGTCGCACAGTGGGACAAGTAGCCTGTTCTAGGTGGACAAAACCCTTTAATTCGACGAGCTCGTAATTTCATCATTTTTTTTGGAAATAAAGATATTGTGTGATAGTTACTAAATAAATAATAATCGAACATTTGTATTCGAACATATAAACATGGATTTTGACCTTCAAACTTGCGTTACAGTAAATCATTTATTAGTGTTCGAAGGTTCCTCGACACTGAGTGTTCAGACATCATCCCCACCACCATGCGCTTGACTGGTTCTACTGGGAAGCCCCCCGTACTCTGATGTAACCTTCAAATAACCTAATCATCATAATTTATTTTAGTATATTTTGTCTTGCTTTAATAATTTCAATATACTTTACCTCAGACAGTATATAAATTACCAAGAAGAAGATATATAAGTTCGATGTAAACTACTTTTAGACGTTTGTCCAGCTAGGTACGCTATTTGTCCCACTGTGCGTCGCAGGGAACCGTAACATTGGGATTTGTGAATCCCCATAAAATTCCCTCGCGAGCTAATACGGTTACTTACGCCGTTCTTTTCGCATACACCGCCAGCGTTCTTCAGATCGCCGGTCCAAGCGAGCCCAAGCGTGCCCATCTCGAAGTCCCTGTAGGTGAACATGTAAGCCAGACAGAACGCGTCGTAATCTTCCTCTGGAACCAACGAAATTACGTTACTACTTGGAAGGCTACCGGATCCGTCCGTGTTAGCACCTTATTTCAAGAGTCGACAGCAGACGTTGGAAACAGGAGGGGTGTTAGGACAGTTATGGAAAGGATCATATTTACCGGAGAACAGCTCCAGATATTTCTCCACGCCATAGTTCCCGGGGAACCGATAATTGGGATCCCTGAGAGCGTCCTCGCTGTGAACTTTCACGCGTTTGATCATGAAGCTGATGTTGTCGGGCCTGCCGTCCTGATTGAAATCTACGGACAATAAAGAAACTAATTCTCCCACTAGCCCCCGATTGGATTCCCCCGACTATCGCGATTGTCTCCGCGGTCTTGCCGCCGGGGGATCAGGATTAAGGGGGCGGGATGGATATCCGAAGGCTCCGAATGTTGACCAACTTCGATAATCCCGTTTCAAACACGATCGTTAAGCGAGTTCTCGTTCCGAGACTTCTGCCTTGCCCGTTTAAATACGATTATTTATGTACACTAAAATTCGCATTTTGGTAAATAATTCGGTTAAATAGAGGTGACAGTTTTTCGTGAGCAAACTCAAGTCACTGTATGTCTGATCAATGGACGGGAAACATCGTGAAGACCTTAATCCGCATTATTCGTTCGGACTGAAGGGGGGTTAGCAAAATCGATGGATCAGAGACAGTGGTTCTTAACCTTTTCAAAGTTACAGAACACTTTTGATTATAAGAAACATTCGTGGAACACTAAAATCACCGAGCCTTAGTGTTAATGCATTATCCCTGAAAATTCAGCCCTCTACAGCCTCGAAGCTGCAGTAAACGAGTTTCTACTGTATCTAGTACGCCGTCTTTCGTAATTTCGCAGAATAACTAGTGGTCCCAAGGAACATCGGTTAAGAAGCACACACTGATCTAGGGGAATCGTACCGGTGTGCTTGTAAATGGAGTTGACCCTTTGCACGTGTCTGGTCATCACCTCGATGCAAGCCTCCTCGGTGCCGTAACGCGCGAAAAACTGATGGTCTGCTTGCAGATAGAGCATACAAGTTGTCTTCCGTGGATCCACCGTTGCACGTTTGTGCAAATGTCTCGCGATCCGATCCCCGTAGTAATGGCCCGTTCTGGAAACGAAAAACGGCTGCAGTTGGCAAATTTCTTACCTCCCGACCTGGGGCCGGGAATGAAAAGCTTTATTCCGTTACACACACACACACACACATATACAGGGTGAGTCAATAAGAACTACTATCAAAAATAATTCGTTATATTACTTCATTAAAACGGCTTTTGATACAACTAATAGGTAGTGAGTTATTGACAGTAGTTCTTATTGACTCACTCTGTATATATACACATACACACAATTTTTCGTTTCGCGATTTTTACGATTCCGCGATACGAAAACGCCCTGAACCACCAGCTAGCTCAACGAAGAATTCGCTGGCTGGCTCTGGTTCGTGTTTTAAAGTGATCCTCGTGATTTCGTCTCTTTCATAGGGACTCACGTTTCCGTACGTGCCGCCGTTGCGGCGTTATCCTTCCTCGATGTTAAAACCCGTGCGCTGTTCTCCCTCGAGTAGAGAGCACCCACGTTCTCGCCGAGCAGAGGTTCGTAAAACGTTCGGGAATCGTTCTCGTGACGTCTGAAAAATGTATAAAACAGTGTACGTATTGTATATTACAGACCACTGTACTATGGTGTCCTCGACGGGCCTAAAACTCGGCCAAGAATCATCCAGGCCCTAGATTCAAGGGGTTATCGACTGGAGTAGATTCCCGAAGAAGTTTCCTCGCGAGGAGTAACACAAAGCCAGTACACTAAGATGGTTCTTATTTACCAAAATACCCAAAATAGTAATTATTCAAATTATCCAAAATAGTTCAATTAAAAAAATGTTTAAACAAATTTTCACTCTTTTCTCCAGCCTGCTTTTTTGTTAATTTTTTTCGAAACCCGTTTGTCGCATGCAAAAAAGTAGTAGAACATAAAAGATGCTGTTTGTGTAGGTTTAGAATTTTTGTCTGACGTGGTTTCTGATACAACCGATAGCTTAGAGGATAACCAACTTCGTCATCCGAAGAGGATCCCTCGAAAGCGATGAAACATTTAGGTTTAGAGTTAAAATAACCGTATGAATTTCTAAATTTCGATTCTGGGACGCAAAGGAAATTCGAAAGTTGAAAATAAGAGCCATCGGTACTGTGCTCACCCAGAGCAGATGATAACGACGACTCGCGAGGGAAGACCGATCAGTGCGCTAACTCTGTAGACCAACCTAGAGAGAGACACAGAGTCTATGCTCCAGTGTTAATTTAATTGTCAGCGATTCGTCTGAGAATGTTTGAGGAACCACAGGGGTTTAAACCTTGTTACAAAGCCCTGGGCTTGGTTCTAACGCGTTTAACGCACGCCTACAAGCATAATGCGTCCCGAGGAATCGGTAACGAAATTAACGCGCCAAGGAACACCGGTGTGTATGTGCTTCGTGTTGATAAACCTCAGACGATGCAGACGTTTAGCGATGAACGTCCTCTATCTCCCTCTCTCGTTATATCCATTTTCATCCTCGGTTAGCGTAACACGATTTACTCACCCACCCCCCCTACCCACCCTCCGGATATTTTAGAGCTGTTATCTTGTTAAGGTTAATGAGCACGCCTATAACGAGGACCTGGAAATCTCAAGCGTCGTTCGAGGACACCTCTCCCTTTAAATTGGAATTTTCATTCTGGGATAAAGGAGGATTTTATGGAGAGTGATCGAAGGTGTACATAGAATTGTTTCAATATTTTTGTCGTACGATCCTCGTAGAAAATGCAGAAAAATTTGTATAAAAGTTAAATGGTATCAGGAATCACACTTTCTGGTGTAACTTTTTTCTATGTGTACGCGTCATATGAAGGTCAACTTTATTTATGCATGGAAGCACTCACCTTCTTATGGAATCACCAAGTTCTCCTCGGTGCAGCTGATGACTAGCGCAAGGAAGGGACCGTCTCGGCGTCAACACGTCCGAAGAACGATAAGTTATGCTGTGATACGTCGGCGATGTGTCCTCATCTTTATTCAAGTATCTGCTGGTGGGCTCGATGTAATACTCCTCGAATCCGGTGACCAGGCTCCCATCGAACAGACCGTCCTCCGTCACGATCCCTTGCACCGTCGCGGTCTCGTCCTCTGTAAATCATCGATTTCCATACTTTCCATAAAAAAATACAAAAACTAAAAATAAACTCAAGTGACAAGAACAGAGGTGATACGTGAACCATATCACCGGCGATATACATTTTCAGCGCCGGATCAAGGGGGGTCTAGTAGCACCGGGCTCCGTTCTGTACCTTTTATTTAGTTATGATTAAATGTTATTTAATTTTATTTAAAATAAATGTCAATTTTTTAAGATTCACATATTTTGTTGTGCTGTATTATAAATTCCCCCCGTTTTTCAACCAAGGGGTCTCCTGAAAATCTGATAGCTCTGGGCCATAAAAAATCTTAATCCGACTTGTACATTTTATACGCTTTTTTTTTACGGTCCGTGATCAACGAACACGAATTGGCTGCAGTGGCTCTCTCGTTACTGACGTAATATCGTTTCTTTCCCGGGGAAACAGCGTGGCGTCACGTTGCAGCACCACCACCACAGAGAAAACAAGCTTCCACCCACGGGAATCTGTTGTTTTCCGCGGGGAGAGTGTAACAAAAATATTTCTTACATCGTTAGTTCGCTCTCGCGAGAATTGAAAGAAAATCGACAGCGGCGAGATGTTACCTCTACGAGGAAACTCGGTTTCCGCTAGGGGAAGATGCAACGTAGGGGAAGGGTCTCCTAACACTTGATAGATTTATTTCAATTCAAGGTTCCTCTGTAGGTGGACCGCAATGGCTGCGTTCGTCAAGTCGCTCATAGGATTCTTTATTGGTCAACGAAGCCTCTGCTCCTTCTACGTTAACCCTCAAGTCATCCCTAAATTCTCCCTACTCGAAAACTGTTTCTTTTCTTGATCCTAATTATCGACTATTAAAAATAGAAAATTATTAAATTGAACGATAAACTAAAAGTCTCCTGCTGTCTTTTAAAATTATGACCAAGAAATGGCTTATTCAAGATTTGTCCCTTTAAGGGTTAACAGACTTTATATTCCCCATAGGAATTCTCCGATATTACAGTCGACGGAACGATCGTCTTTTTCCCAGAGACTTGTTAACGTAGGTAGGGCGTGCAGAGAGACAGAGAATTCGTCGAAAGGTTTGTACACCTAATCGTGCTCTCGCATGGAAATCGAGCGAATCCGTCGTCCGTTCCCTATTTAGATTCCGGGAGCCTCGGCTAACTTCGTTCCGTCTCCCCCGCTTTCGTCGACGGGTCTACGCTTCCGGTTCGAGGCGATAGATTTCCGAGAGAAACTCTCGAATCGAAAATTGTCTCTGGCTCGCGAGAAGAGATCATGGGAAGGGGATGGGGGATGAAACGAGGAATGTACGATAGCCGAGAAAGAAGGGTGGAGAGAGGAGGAGGTGTATCCATTTCCGTCATGGACGACGTCTTCGTCGGGAATTACACCGTTTCGACGATTTCATAATTTCCGGGACCGCGTACAGAGTCCTCCTCCTCCCTTCTGCCTCTTCTTCGTGACTTCGAGGGAAGAACTGGGTCGAGGCTCTTGCGATAGTCGACGGACGAATACTTGCGTAGAATTCCACGAATTTCGTCGCACATCGTCTGATATTTATTCGTTGGAACTGGAACGATCTAACGAACATTATCGTTAAACACGATCGCGTATTAGAGCCGAAAGTCGACTATGTGCTACCAAACGGGATCGTACGCACTTCTACTGGGTTAAAAGTATGGGACCAGGTTTTGATAACTAAAGAATAACCAAAATAATAATAATAAATTATTTTGTACGGGACAAAGCCTATTCAATTATGAAAATATTATATTAGTGTAGGGATAGATTAATCCAAGTAAATAATCGATACTTTTGGTTGCGATATATGCTCGGTATGCATTTATCCTAACAACAGGGCGATTGTTCATAATTAATCGAACGATACACATGCTGTGGGTAAAAATGTAATTTACGGGTCTATAGGGCGAGAGCTCGGGGCCAGCGATGGTTTAGCTCAGTAATTGTCGATCAGTAGAGAAAGAAAGAAAGGAAGGGTGAAAGAAAAATGGTAAATTCGTCGGAACGAAACGGTTCCCCTCGATCGAACGAAAGACGAGCGAATTATCGGAAGGCTTTTCCCTGCAATTAAGTGTTTTAAATCCCCTCGCCGGGAATCGTGAACGTAGGGGGTGGTGGATTCACCCCTCATGCTAATCGATACTCCTCGAACAAAGGAAACGATTGAACAAAGGGGTTCCTCCGGCTCAAACGATTCACCATCCTCGCCTGTAGATGCGGAACCAAGCTCGGATGGAATTACCATTTAATCGAGGCAGGGGGTGAATCGAAAATTTCCTCTTGAACGCCACCAATTCCCGTGGCAATGAGAAACCTGGAGAACGGTGGTGAACACGTTCAACGTTCCGATGAGATTCCAATCCACGGGCTACCAAATGATTTCACCCCCTGCCCCTAGTGGTCTAGAATCAAAATTTAGCAGTTAATACGATTATTTAGCTTAAGAAATCTTCCACGGTTAATGAGAAGTTGACGTGAGTTTTTTGGAAGATAAAACATAAATTTGTGGTGGTAAAGTTAAAACCGAAGGAAAGTGATTTTTATATGCACTGCTTCCGTAACTTATTACATCGTAACAGAATAATGACTTACTGTTCCACCAATCATGAACTTCGGTCCCATACTTTTGGCCGGTAGTGCATAATGTTCATTCCCTAGGACGTGTTCATTTACTGCTGTATCTACCCTATACGTTAAAAAAAAAAAGAATCGTGCCCTGACCCGAACGAAATGGTTTATGAAACCGTATCTATCGTTAAGTTTCAGCGTGGAGTTTCTGTCCGATTGAAACGGTCAGTTTACACACACACACACACACACACACACAGAATCGATACTACCACTCTGATGCTTGCGAAAAATAACAGGCTGGACGGTAGGGAGACGGTCAATCGAGGGAACACACACACACTGGAATGGAAAAAGGGGATATCTCGGGGCTGAGTCGGATATTGGGATTACAAAGAACGTCGGGGGCACCGTTATTAAATTCAGTCTGTACTGTGAACGTCAATATGCGTACAGACTGCAGAAACGACCACGATCCTAACGATCGTCTAGTTATTTGCGGAAAAATCGTACGGTCAAAAGCTCATCGCTGTGCTGTCAACCAATGGCGAACTTTTGACGCTTTGTACACACCTGTGCAAACTGTTCGCCTGCATATACAGGGTGGCCCAAAAGTTAATAGACCATTTAAAAATAGTATAACACTTTTATGTATTAAAAATGTACATTTATGCTTTTATAAAGAATAAATGTACTTCTTGGAAATTATGTCTAATTACTTTTGTAAATTATGTCCTTCAAATGGCCATCATTTTGTTCTTGACAGTGGCGGGATTTTTCTAAAAATGTATTATATTTTAAAATGGTCTAGTGATTTTTGGGCCACCTTATACATACACTGTCTAGCTCTTTCGACCAGTGGTTTATTACACTGAGATCCATGTGGCTCTGTTTTCTATCCGGACGGAGATGAGCAATAAACTTGGAAACGAGAGACCAAACGGGATTCGGTGGATGGCCGATTCGGCTGTTAAAGGGAGTATTTACGAGGGGAGGGGGCACATTCTCGCTTGACTTGGCGACCTGACCAATTACCCGGAATTGTTCCATTCGAGGCTGGCTTTAAAATGCCTTACGTGAAAACGGCAGAATCAACAGGAGCACACCGCGACGAGACGCCACCATTATTACTCTTTCTGGACGTTTTAATGGCCAGCCGAAAAACTGCCTTCAAAAATATTTGTTGCCAGGAGACACGGGGAGGGGGTGCTTACAAATACAAGAGTATTATTTAATTATACAGGGTGTTTCAGCTAACTTGATCACCTCGAATAATGAGTTAACGTACACTTGGTCTATACCACGGTCACCTTGATTTTTGTTAACGGATTGACCTATCTTTTGTACCATAGATCGATAGAGTATTAAATTCCGAGTAAAAATGTGTTGACCTTCGTACGTTCTAAACCTAATAGTTAACGAGATGTTTAGAAAATAATCACTGCATTGAAGTTGAGGGGCATCAGTTCGAGCACCTATATCTTCCACTCTAGTAAGTACATATTAAAAATTATTTTCTAAATATCCCACCAACTATTAGGTTAACATAAGAAAAATAAACTCTTTTACAAGGAAAAAAATTGTTGTTTTTCCACTTATGTGTAAATTCTTTTTGTCATTTCAGTATTTCGAAGTAGTTTAAAATATTAATCATTCAAATTAAATTGATAAAAAGTCACCATATGGAAGAGCTGGACACGACACGAAACACGTGAACTACCTTAAATCTAAAGAGCTCTGCAGTCAAATGGTTAATGGTCCTACGGCAGAGTCGCGTCCGAACTGCTACGACTGCAATGAAAGACTTCGATCTGTCTTCGACGATGGTCCCGAGGATATATCGGGCGTATAAGTATCGACGTGACGAAACGTTCTCATCTCGACACAGGAGGGGGGGGGGGGGGGGAGTGTTTGTCCGATTCGACTAGTTATCCTTGAAAGCACGACGACAACGACGGTTGCTTTCCCCCTGTCCGCGGAATCGCACATCCTGTGCCGACTCCCGCCATTCTTCTTCCCAGGTCTCTGTATTCACTTCGTCGATTACGCGACGTCGACGTTTATCTCGCGCTTTCGGCATCGAATCCGCCAGCATCGAGGGATTAGAACGTCGAATTCGCTTCTAGGACACAACAGACGGGAGAAGAAACAACAACTCGGCTGATCTGTGGGAAAGTTTCTTTGCGCAAACTTCGCCTTAAGCCGTGTTCCCACTTGTGCAATTCCTCCCCCACCTCCCTGCTGAATATGTGACAGGAACCAAAGAAATTTCCCTTCGTTGAAAAGGTGAAGGATGACTTAACAGCTCTTGGGCACCACGGGAGAAACTTTGGAGCCGTTTTCAACCGAATGGATGCGAATATCGTTATCTATTGTTAGTTTTACTGCGCTTGTGATGTTACGAGTCACAGACAC